TTCCTAGAAGTAACATCAAATAGGTGTTGGAGCGCTCACATTGAGGTTATCGTGTGGGCTGGCTCGCTGTCTGGCATCGCCTTCTTCCTCTTGAAGCTGACCGGCATGTTGCGCATTGACGAGGACCGCTAGCTCCCAAGACTTGCCGAGTGCGGTCAGCTCGCACCAGGCTGAGTTTGTGTGGTTCCATGGCCCCGCCATGACGGTTGTTGAGGGTTGCCAGGGTTTTGCCATGATTTTTCAAAATCTAGGCACGCACGCAGAAACGTAGCGCAAGCACACATGCCTTCTATTTGTTTGATTGGAGTATTCCGGAAGTGTCCGATGTTTTTGGGTTTGGGGTCATGGGGGCCAAGGCCTGTCACGATTGCAAGTTGCCTTGGTCGAAGCACACCTAAATGAGGCTGACTGCATATGCTGCCCAACTGGGATCCAACACGGCCTGTGGATGTGTATAAATTGTTCTGAACGAGGATGAGAGACTTGTTGCACTAGTGACGGCATGGGGTCTTACTCACTGTCATGAATACCCACCCTCACGAGAGTTTTGGCGATGTCTCACCTGCAAGTGTCGCCTGTGTTCTGATATTCTGCGGCGGTGGGTTTTGGCTTTCTGGCGACAGGACACTGAGGCAATGGGCATCGACATGAAGTCCCACTCTCCGCCAAAGGCCTACGCCATGTCAACTCCTGCCGCCACTGGTGTGAGCGTGCCTCGCCCGAACTGGCAGCCAATGCTCGCGCAGTTCTGCAGAGCCGCCAGCTCAACTGTTGCCCCTCTGCCGTGCGGCCTTCTATGCAACCCACGATGCCTGCTTGGTAGTGGCCAAGATTGCAAGGTTGAATGCAAGACCCCATCACGCAAGCGTGTTTGTCAGGCGTTTCGCGGGAATGGGCGTGGACGTCGAAAGGGTTGGGGTTGGAAAAGCTAGGCATTCTTTTTCCCACTTGCTGCGGACCGTTGCCGCCCTGCTCAAGCCCTGATTCGATGCCAAAGATGCAAAGTGATGCAAAGTGATGCAAAGTGACGCGTGCCTATTTCAGGGGCGCTTGTATTTCCCCCCCCTTTTGAGGATCTTGTGCATTTCGTCCCAAGCCTTTGGTGCATTGCGTCGCCGAGGCGTCGGAGCATTCTCCAACGAAGGCCTACGCGGCCCCTGAGACCACAGTGTGAGATCGAGGTCTGGCAGCTTGGGGCCCCAGAACGGCTGACTGGTCCACGGGGCGGGGCTTGGGCGGCAGATTGGAAGAGCTCTGGTGCCAAGGGGGTCTTTTTGCCACCTTTGGCGGGGAAAAAAAATGGCAACAAGACCCCCCTGTCTGCAGCAACTATGTTAGGCCCCCCAAGCCCAGCTGGAAAGCATGTGGCTTCCCAATGTCTATTTGAAGTGCGTTCCCAGCATGCTGGGCTCCAACATGCCCTGCGCAAGAAATAAGAACGAAGGATGATATGTCCATCCATCCCTTCTCATCCCCGGCCGTTTCTGCGCGGCTGGTCTCAGGATGCATGAGCCAATGACCGCCGACGACTTTGCATGGGCAAGACTCAAGATTTCAGCCCCATGTTCGCTACAACGTGTCTCTTGTATGTACAAACGAAGCAATCAAAAGTCCCTGCTTCAGGCAGAGAACTCATCATACGGACCCTCACAACCGAGCGAAGAGTGACAGAGCGTGGCTTTTTCCCATGGCCGGCATTGCGTGGCCAGCCTTGCAAGGTCTCTGAGCTCTGAGTGTGCATTCCCCTAGCACAAATTATCCTTGCACATTTCCAGATCCTTCCCTGCTGATACGCTGTGGAGGGGTGTCACCTGACGTTTTCGGCTGGGAACTCCAAATCACCCCTCCTGAGGCAGTTCTAACAGTATCAACCTTTACTATCAAGCTATCACGCGGGGCTGAATGATTACTGACCTTTTGCTCCTATCATGGCTCAACTTGATCTTAAAGCGCATGTTTACGTGTACTCCGGAACTAGGCCACCAGCCCCATTTTGGGCATTCACAGCATTGTGTAGGAGTTCTGCCAGCTGGGGCACTTGCTTGACGATCGAAAGGACGCAGAATGTCGCTCATATGCCCGGCGCATGTCGCATGCCTATCGAGGGCTTCGAAATCTCATTCCAGAGAAGCACACAGCAGCAAGATGACATTGCACAAAGGTTGCCAATGTGTTGCCCGACTGCTGTTGCTCAGGGCCGCTGGTGAGTGATCCAAGTCATTCGGTTTTGTTCTTGTGAACAAAAAGAAACATGGTTGACATTGGAATTTGGATCAACCGAATGCTGACATCAACTGCACGGAGGGCCACATTGAAAATGTCGGCATAAAGCGGGACAGCCTTAAGTGCTCGGCTTCTTGAGTCAAAGCGCATAGCAGACGCCGGGCAGTGAGTGATGTGAGTCCATCCCCCTGCTGGTAGTGGAGCTGCCTCGGGGATGAGCCAAATGGCTTCGCAGACCGTGCAAATTCCTTGCGTGCAAATTCCTTGCGGCGAAGGATACGTCGTGAGGTTGGCAGTCTGCTGGTGTAGGCCGGTGCCCAAATGTTTAGCTTGCAGCAAGGGTTTGCACATTGTCCGATTCTTACGCCAGTATTCCCGAAGAGGTACGCAGCCTGCCCAATATGCTTGGCGCATACACGCAAAACCCATTTGGACATGTTGGTTTCTTAAGGATTCTAGTAAAGCCTACGCCATATTAGAACCAAAAGTCAATGGGTTTTGGGCTCAAATTGGGGGCACGGAATCCAGCGACCCATTGAGAGGCAACTTGGCCTGAAAACATGCCAACAGGCTTGCCAACCCTCACCGCGCCAGCTGAACAAAGTGAGCGTTCATCGGAGGCGCCGGGACCCCCAACGGCTGTAAATTGGTTAAGTGACCTTGGAAAGGCTTTTGGGGGCCCTTGCAAGCCATGGGGGGGGCTAGCAAATACTGGTTTTGTTCAAGTGGGACCGAATTTAATGGGTAGTGCAACTGAATGTGAGATTCCTGAAGGTATCACACGACAAGACCAACATCATCCAGAACTTTCTCTTCGGAAACTCCTTCGTCCACGCTGGTATTGCATCTGTTTTTGTGGGGTTTCTTGACAAGTTTGACATGCATCGGTGTTTTTGCCCTAGGCATGGCAGGCATGGCCAACTCTGCGTAGACACATTTCCAGCAAGCTGGTTCTCATTTGTTTCCTGCGCAAGCGCCATCCCTCATGAGTGGTCCGTGAAACAGCCCAACCGGCAATCAACTTGCTGGTGCTCAATAAGGAATGAGTTGGAATGCCCCCTATAAACCATCCAACTAGTGGTTTCCTGTATGGGGATTTCTGGGTAAACCATCCAACTGGTGGTTTCCGAGGGGACCAAAGCCTGGGTTCATTCCATTTCTCATTCCCTGCCTATCGCACCAACAAGCTTTGGAGGTTGGAACGAACTGGCGCGAGGCGGGTCGGAGCCCTCCCGGTGGCGCCGGCGGAGTGTGAAGCGGAGCCTCTGCGGCGCTGCTTGGCTCGGATCGAACGGGCAAGGCCCTGCTTGAAGGGTACGTCAGGTACGTCAGGTAAGTGGGTGATATGATTGATATGCCCATGAGAGAACAAACAAAACCAGAAAGTCAAGCCCAGATCCAGTTCAGGCTGAAACATGGCACGACGGGGATCAAGAGGCTTGTAGTTCAGGAGGCTGAAACATGGCACGGGGATCCCTTCAGGCGTGCTTTGCAGGTGCCCTTCAGGCCCGGAAAGCGGAATGCGAGTGGCTTGCGGCAAAGCGGCGTGGGGCAACCCTCGGGATCCATGGGCGTTTTTTTTCTCCCGAAAGCCACAACGAGATGGAGATCGTCGTCGTTTGTGCGGCAGTTTTTCTTTCCGGACCCCAAGTTTTCTGTGCTTGCCTGTTTCCGATGTTTTTGTTTCTGAGGGCTTCCCGGCAAAAGGCCTAACCCCGAAGAGGGTTGTGTTTTCTGCTTCACTTCCTGGCTTTTCTGTCAGTTTCTGCTTGAGGCTGTCGACCTCAAGCAGAGCAGCGCAGAGGTCACAGGCGAGTGCGACGTGTTGGGCGTGGTGTGACTTCGCGTGAATGGAGAGCTGATACTCCGGCAAAGCAAATCCCAAGCGTCACGTGCAAGGACTGGGATGGTTGTTTGCCATCATGGGAGGGGAGCAGGAGAGGTGCCCACAAACCGTGTTGTCGTGTTTGTTTGCAGGTGTCCTACGTCACAGTGCTTGTCCATTGTTCAAGCCCTCTAAACCACCTGTCAGGCACCGGTCACTGATGCCTTGACCTGCCACTGTTTTGGGAACACGTTTGGAGAATGACTGGAGACGGGGAATCCAACTCAGAGAATTGCTTATTTGGAGCCAGGTTTACTTGCACAACCGTGGTTGAACAAGTCTTTCTTTTCTCAAAGAGGGCATCTACACATTTGATCAGATCCTCATTTGCTTTTAATACTCAAGAGGGAGCAACGGATGAGCCCTGGATATTGCAGTGTTTGCCTGAGCTGTTGGGAGGATGTGACATATTGTGATCCAACGCTTTCGTATGCGCCGCATGTCCTCATGGCAAGAGTTTCAGGAAACCACTAATTGGTGGTTTGATTTGAACACCTGGTTCTTGCAGAGGGTCACTGGAACGCCCTTCCTTAGCCACCAAACCACCAAATTGGAGGGAAGCTGAGTTTTGTCAAGGACTCCACACATGGCCCAGAATCAAGCATATCAGTTTTGCTTGGGAACGAAAACTGGTGTGGTTTCTCTTGTCGTTTTGTCCCCCAATTTGGGAGCGATTTCGGCCCTTTTGACCTGCTTGAATTTAACACTGTTTGAGAGATTGAAGGAACGAAGCTGCAATTTGGTCTTACTTAAACCCTTAAGAGGTACAATCCAAACTTCCAGCTAGTGGGCAAATTGTCGTGCTAGTGCTCAGTAGGGAATATCCCCCAAGATTTGTTTGGGATCTGACGGATTTGTTTTCTTTCTTTTTTGTTTAACAGAAATCAATATAGGATGGATGGTTTGTACAGGTCATTCCAGCTCATTCTTTGCCGAGAACAAGCAACTTGTTTGCTGGGGCCCTTGGCACCTCGGGTACCCAGGGACCCTCTTGTGACAGGCGACTCCCCTCGGGAGCTTCAGGCAAAGGGTGAACCGAGGGAGAGAGGTTCGGAGTTCTCGGAACCCGGGATTTCGTGCCGAAAGAAGAATGGGGTTCTTGAATCTGGGGAGCTTCTGGACTGTTTTGAGTGTCTGGGATTTGTGGGGGTTTCGTGACTTTTGGGAGTCGTTTCTTGCATTTTTGTGGTTCTGGGGAGCCCTTGAAGCTCTCAGGGCTCACCATGTTTTGCTCGCTGGTGCAGCTTGAGGTACTCGAGCCCCACTGGGAAATGGCAACCTTCCAGTGCCACGGGAGCCCTTGGCCAACTCGAATGGGCAGCGCATTGGGACATCACCTTTGGATGCTTCCGTTTGCTGAAATGAATATGTTGTTTTTCTTTCCCTTGTCGGTGTTAAAGAGAATCTATCACTACTATGTATTTTTGATCAGGCTGCTTAAGCAAATGGAAGGTTGAGAGCACTGGATAGTACACAAAACCTGTTCCAGCGCACCCTTGTTGCTCCCTATTTTCTGGTGCCAACTCCTCAGGAAGGACCCCGGAAGGATCCCTTTGTTCTGGTAGGCTCAGTGGGCAACCGGCTGAAAGAGAGCTTGGCCGAATGCGAGGAATCCGGCGTGAGTATGATTGGCCATCCTTTGTTTCCCTCTCTCCTTCTCTCTTTGCTGATTATCGTTATTGTTTATAATCACGGATGAATGTCGCCCCGTGCAAGGCTAGATGTGTTAAGCAACTGGGAACACCCCGTACCTGGAAAATGACCCTTCCCGACTCACCAGGTTTCTTGGCGGGTTGAGCTGCTAGTTCAAGCGGCAGGTTTGCTTGGGCCCCGGCTCGGCATCGAACGAGGAACGTTAAACGTGGAACACTGCGACACCACTCTGAAAACTCGAATACTGTGGTCGGTTTGCCAACCAACTTGTGAGCGATGCTTTGATTGGATTTCTTGACTACTATTCTTGTGAAGAGTTGGGTGATGGGCGGACGCGCGCGGCAGCCAGGTGGTTCTTCGCAAGGCGGTGAGGAATGAGGCCAGGTTTAGCGAAAAAATGGTTGGAATGGGTTTGCCGGTTCCGAAATGGCAATGTGGCCGTGGACGTTAGCACTATCCAAGCGACCGGATTGTTGTGTGTCTCAGTTGTCCAAAGCGAATCGGCCTTTAAACTTCTTGGTTTCCCTTTCTTGGTCCATTTATACCCAGTTGCCCAGTGGGTTGCTTCCGTTTTTTCCTTTTTAGGGTTTCCCTTTAAAGTCAACCAACCAAAAAAGGATGCCCTGTTTTTCCTATGGCCACTGCGCATCTGAGTATATACAGTAAAAGTCCCAAAAGGAAATCCCCATTTCTTCAGGGTACCACTTTAAAACCATGGGAAACCATGACAGAGGAATCATTATCCTTCCAGGGTTTCTTAGGTGGTGCACCTATGCAAGCTTGGCAGGCTTAGCCTCGCTTGCAAGGCTTCACGAGGTTGGGGCCGACTTTCAAGCGAACTCATGCGGAATTTGTCGACTCTGGCCATTGCTTTTGCCATTGCCACCCCAGGTTTGGGACTATGCCTTCGAAAAGACCGAAGCCTGTGCAGAGAAGGAGGCGGCGCTATGCTGTTTTGATTTGCCTAACGCAAAGCCACCCTTTCTGGCGTCTAGCGCCCTCCGTTTTTGTGACACATGCTCTTTTTAATATGCCCGGCCCTGGCGCTTTTTTTGTTGGAGGGGATCAGTTCGCTTCGCCTGGGTTCCGATGAAATGCTCAGCATTACCCCGCCAAAGCGTCCATGGTCCATTTGAACGTCCCATCCCCGTGTTGACCACTGCTGAACGTCCCTTCAAGCAGAGCACCAACTTTTCGGCCTTAGCCCGGCATCTTCTTGCTTCCGACGGGCAGGGACTGAGACACGGAGTGACCCCAAGAAAAGCTTTAGGAGTCCCAAACTGTTGATTCCCAACACCCGGACTCGGTCATTCCCTGCTGAGCACCAGCAAGTCTTCTCGATTTCGCCGAAATGGAAATCAACGCCAGGAGGCGATTGCTCTGGGCTTGCAGGCGGCGCCCGCGTCGGAACCTGCGGAGCTGGAGAGAAGGCAGGGGGTTTTGTCGTGAGCTTGGCAAGGGGGGCCGCACGGAGGAGAGTTGCCGCCGGAGGTTGAGTGATTGCTTCACTGGTTGATTGGTTGGTCGCTTGTTTTTTGTTTTCCCCCTTGCTGGTTCTTAGGGAAGGGAATTCCGGACAGCGAACCCTATAGCTACGTGCTTCACTGGTTGATTGGTTGGTCGCTTGTTTTTTGTTTTTTTTTTTTGTTTTTCCCCCCCCCTTGCTGGTTCTCAGGGAACGGAGTTACGTGCAGGCCAGAGGCGCAGCAGGATGCGCCGGAGGTTGTGGAGGACCAGCGGATGTCCGGGCCGATCTAACGTCTAGGATCGGGCCATCAGTCAGCAGGACACCATGCGGAGGGCAATCACTTGACAGATATGTTTGGCAGCCAAGGCATGCATATCTCATATATTCGTTCGTACATGCATGTATGCATTAACAATAGATTAAGTGCAGCTACATTTGCATGGTTAGACTATGTTAGACTGTTTGATTTGGGGAAGTCCAGTGACCCCCTGTGAGCCTTCGAGGACTCCGCAGAGTTGGACGTGGCGCCTCCTGTGGTGCAGGACAGCACGCAGGACGGGCGTGTCGGGGCCAGGAGTAGGGGATCCCGGTTTTTGCTCGATCTCCGGGTGGTTGGGCTCATATAGGCAGAATTGATCTTCACAAAGGCTTGTTGGACAAATGGTTGGCCCCTTTCTGGGTGCCGAGGGCCGAGGGTTTCATACATTCGCTTTCCATTCAGCTTACGTGAGGGCCCTGCTCTTTGAGTTTAAGCAGGCAATTATGCTGGTTTTCAGCGGTTTTGCTTGGTTACCCGCTGCGAGACTTGAATCGGGGGGGAGAAAAACAACCTTCCAGTGAATCAGCTCAAGGTTCCTACTTGCAGCTCTTGTGAGGTGGCACACGCTTATTGCCACAGGCGCCAGTGCGGCAAGTGGAGGCGTCGCCCAATGCCGTGCAGCCGGGGCCCCGTGAACATCTCGAATTTGCATTTTCAACTGGCAAAAGGAGATTTGAGATTCCTCCGAGCACTTTTGGGGTGGGGTTGGCCCATGTTCCGAGCCTTTGAAAGGAGCACTTTGATTGAAACTATATTAACTTTCTCGACATCGGGCTGCGGACCCCGGCACGCAAAGGTTGACAAGGGGCCACTTTGGACTGCCAGCAGCCAGGCTTCAGAACGCCAGCATTTTCAAGCATGGACCAGCAAGCACCTTGATTTGCTTCATGGGTTTTAATCTTCAGCCCCAAAAGGGTACCGACACAGCCACCCTCATTTGGGGCGTCTTTTCCAGGGGACCCCCAACAAATGATGTTTCAGCTTCAATGTCCTTACCCATTTTTTCGCTCGACGCGCCCCGCTTCTGGGGGGCTGTTGGTAACCCTTGGATTTCCGAGGAGCGCGGTGGTCATGGGCCAGCTGGCGCCCCAGACACACCCCCAAACAGCTGGGTGCGTTTTTGTTTTTTTGAGGTTGCCCCCCCCCAAAAAAATAAATAAATAATAATAATAATAATAATAATAAGAGGGAATGGTTTTTCCTTTAGGGGTTTCCTTTTGTTGAAACCACCAAAGAAGAGGTACCCTGAAAACTACACCCTTAGCTGCCAAATCATGTGACCCTTGTTGGGACAAAATTATTTTGTATCATTTTGGGCGACGGCCATTCAAGGGTGTGTTGTAGTTGTGCCATTTTTATTTGCCCTTTTCTTGGAGTTTCTTTTTAAAGTCACCCCCCAAATAAAATATTAATATGGGCGTTTGCCACCAATTCGCTTTGATTTGCCCAGAATCGCGTTCCAAGTGGACAGGAGGGTGTTGGAAGACTATGATCTTCTTGCAAAGGCCCCTTCGCCTTCTGCGCGCATTTCCGTGGTGTTGGGAAAGAAAAGACGGCGAACCTGTCCCATTATTGAATCATTGTTGGTGATAAAGCACGTGCAGCGGGAGGGCGGACAGGGAGGGTGAACAAATATACCAAGCATGGGGGCCTTGGCGTCCATGTCGAGCTTAATTTTAGAGCGCAGTGCCGGCTTCCAGGTCGGTCTGCTAACGCAAAGGTTGGGGAGCGCAGAACTTCAGTGAAATCCTTTCAGGGCTTGCTGGTCCCGTTTGGCAGGGTCTGAGCATCTCATGCAGCATCTCCAGTTGAATAGGCGGCGGGGGTTGTGTTCAGCGCGCACCTCGGAGAAGTGATCTTCATGCGAGACTTATCAAGCACTATGCACCTGGACCCCCAAAGGACCCCTTTTTTCTGCCTTTGACCCACACAAGAAGGGGTACGAAGGCAGAAATAAAGGGTCCTTCGGGGGTCCAGGTATATATTTGAGTTCTGTTTAACCCCCCCCCCCAACATGTGAGGGTAAAATGGCCGTGGCCATAGTGCGGATCTAAGTCTTGCGGGCTGAAATGCCAGCATCAAAGAGGAGCGGTTCAAGATGGTTCGCCACTTCTCGGCTGACTCGAACAACTTTGGACGCTTCCAAGGCACTAAAGGAGTTTATGGTGCCTAGGGCCCCTGGCACGGTAAAGTTTAACTGGAATAGATCCGTGCAGCACATCAACATGCCTCCCGCATTCGACTTGCATGCTAGCACGTCCCCCTGGAGGTCCAAAGCTTGACCAGGACATCAGAACCAACCCACACCATGTGTCTGTGCCACGCAATCACTGGACAGCCGATGATGGTTAATTATAAGTCTCCAAAGTGTTCCTAACCATCTACCTGACGCACCCAGCCCCTGGGTCATGGGGCTGGCGCCAAGGTGCACGACGTATGCCCACCAAGAACAGCCATGCAACAGCTTTGCACGCATTTGGCTCCAAGCGCTCTCAGCGTGCCGCACTGAGGTCAGTTCTCCTACAGAACAGGCTCATGTACCAGCTCCTCTGAGTGCTACCATGCAATACATAAAGCTGAGTGCGTGAGAAGGAAGGGATCCGTCTCACGGGACAATGTGACCTCACCCCATGATATTTATTCCCTGAAATATGCTCTCAAAACAGGGCCCTTTCAAGGCAAACGCACATACAGGCGGCTTGCGCGCTGGCGTTCCAAAGGTGAATTTGAGTCATTCATAGAGCCCTAGCCTTGCATTTCCAACTCCGCTGCCATGCATTATGACTGCTGTGTGGTACCGGGAGCGTTTGGAATCCCAGGTTTGACTGCAGATGCCCAACTCTCTTTCTCAACATGTCTCTGGATCAAAGGGAGCTGAAAGCAAGTCGGAAACGGAACCAACATCCAAGGCCGTTTGAAGCGAGTCCGGCATGTTCAGCTGCTTCTCCTTCAGTTCCAAACTACCCTTTTGCCAACATGACTAGAGACCGTTCCAGGATTCCGTTGTTTTTGGTTGCTTCCGAGTTGTTCTCTCACGTGCGCTTCAATCAAATTGGTCTCACATCGTGCCAACACGGCCCGAGCCTAACGAGCTTCGGGACTGGTGCAGCTCTTCCCAGACCTACGCGATTCCTGAAGGATAGCTTTCACGGCGAGGCCTTTTGCGTGTCATGCTCCAGAGGAGTGCAGCTATGCTTCGACTATCCCAGGATATCCCAGGAACCACCCACGTGGCCAAGAGGACCTCGATTCTTTTTTAGCCCTGCGCATTACACGGCAAGGTTCACAATATTGACCTGCTCACAACATCACATCTTCAAGGGAAGCCCTATCTTGAGCTTGGGTCCAGGTCTTTGCGCGTGTTTGTTGAAGGCTTGCTTGTTCTTTTCAAACGCAAGTGCTGCAGAAAATGCAGGTCCAGTCTTAGCCATTTTGAACATCACTTGCCCAAACTGTTGTGGCGGATTCCTTGCGAACCATGCTGTGTTTTTTTTTGGTTGCAAACAACAGTTGAGTTGGCTTTGCGGCCCTCGCACTGAAGAGGCACCTGCTTGGTCGATGCACGGGATCTTGAGCGTTTAAGAACCAACAAAAACTGGTCTGCCACATTCTGAGCGAGGAATGTGATTTCAGTAACTGTGAGCGTGATGACATTTGAGAGGCTACATCCCGTGTTTATTGTGTGTGTGCGTCATCTTCCAGATGACTGCAGGTTGCTCTTTTTGTTCAGAAGCGCGACCAAGGGAAGCTGTGCAATATGATGCAATATGCCTTGCTAAGATGTGGTATGAGCTGTCGCCTTCCCGAAGGTGTGCACGCGTGCATGGCATCGAAAAAGGCCTGTGGATCGGTGAGATCCCCAGAGTGAATCCGTGCAGATCTCGGCAAAACAGGGAGGCCGGCCTGGAGCGGGGGAGGGGGGTGCATTGGTGGCTTGAGCCGGAGTGCCTTGTGGACGCTCGGCATACTGATCCGAGAACTGATTTGAGCTGGAGGCTACGTAGTCTGGAAGGCATTGGATATTGCAACAGCGCAAGAGAGGAAGTTGGGGCAAGGAGGGTGTTGCCGATGTTTATACAATCGAAAACGCCAACAAATTGAATGCACAGTCATTGTCAGTTGTTCGTTGCAGATCTCTCCAGTTTGCACCCCTCAGCATGAGACCCTGCAAGCATTAGAACCATCAATCACGTGGCAACTGGCCTTGCCTCACAAGCCCAGACTTGCCGTATAGGAGCATTTAGGCACATGTGAGTGGACATACTCTCTGCAAAGATGTTTGGCAAGCATGCGCCTGCCCCGGCTTGCTAACGGCAGTCCATGCTGGAAGGACTTGGCAACTTGCCAGAGCCCAGCTGAGGCTCTGATCATTAGCCTTTAAGGGATTAATCTTTGGCTATGCCTGCAGCTTTCTGTTGGAAACTTGCCGAAGGCCCCAGCGGGAAGCCCAGAAGCGTTGCCTGCGCCTGCGCTGTCATTTTGCGGCCTCGCAGCCTTGTGGCCCAAGAGATAGCAGGCAACCAGATCCTTTCCTTGCCGGCCTAAGCCTCTTGCTGCAATGGTTCGAAACAAATTGCTCAAAAGAGACTACTGGAGACCACCATATGCCACGCACGGATTCCAAGAGCCAGCCAAGGGCTGCAATGGTTTCACAATTTCAAGGTGCTGCAGAAATTAGCGCCATGGCCCGCCAGACGCATCTCCGTGTCCTTGGCCTGGTGTTTGGCCTGCTGTTTGCAAGGCGCGGCAAGAACCAAACGAACCGAAACGGTGCTTGGGAGCACATGTGGCTCAAGCTTGTAAACAACCTGCTGATTTGGGGATTGCCGATGCCAAGCGGGTTTGGATGTTTCGTGTCAAGAAGCCTGTTGCTAGGCCATGTCAGATTTGCACTATCCCTTGAAATCTAGAAAACTGTGCAGGTTTGCAGAGGCCCTCTAATTTGTGAGGGCGATAGTTCCCGTGGGATAGTGTGGATGTCAGGGCTGCAACCAAAAGGATACCCGCCATGCAGCTTGTCGACTTGTCCGATCCTGGCAGGGTCCAACCAAGCTTCTCCCTGAAATCGCAACCTTCTTAAGATTCCATGTCAGGATAGTGCAGTGCAGTTCTCCCATTGTGGTTCATCACCGCCCTTGCCGAAAGGGATTTGTGCCATCTATTCTGTTTTCACCCTGGTAAAACTTTACATTTGCAGGTAAGTTTGTTGTGCCCTTCTGGGGAAAGAGGTTTTTTCGGGGCAAGAGGCTTTGCTGGGGCAGCGAACGGAAAGCCGAGTCCGACCGCTGGACGACCATTGCCGGAGCCAGCAAGCAGAAACAGGTGCCGCCATCGCATGAGTCGGTATGAACGCGGAGGAATTGCAAAAAGTCAAACGCAATAAGCAACAGGCAACCGAAAAAGTGGAGTTTCGGCATAGCTCACTTGGATCGTCTTTCCTGACAGCGGACATTCTCATCAGGAGTGCCGGCACCACACAAGTACTCCACGCCCGCCTTCACCATGGTGGCACTCGACTCCACAACAACAGAACCCTTTGGAAGAGGGGTTGACAGACACACACACAGACACACACACACACACCGCCACACACACAGAGACACACACACACAGAGACACACACAGAGACACACACGCAGAGACACACACGCAGTGACACACACGCAGAGACACACACACAGAGACACACGCAGACACACACACACACACAAAGACACACACACACACAGACAGCAGACACAGACAGACAGCAGACACAGACAGACAGAGACAGACACAGACAGACAGCAGACAGAGAGAGACAGAGACAGACACAGACAGACAGAGACAGACAGAGAGAGACAGAGAGAGACAGAGACTGACAGAGACAGACGGAGACAGACAGACACAGACAGAGACAGCAGAAACAGACAGAGACAGACAGAAACAGACAGAGACAGACAGAACCAGACAGAGACAGACAGAGACAGACAGAGACAGACAGAACCAGACAGAGACAGACAGAGACAGACAGAGACAGACACAGACAGACAGACACAGAGACAGAGACAGACAGAGACAGAGAGACAGACAGAGGCAGACAGAGGCAGAGACAGAGACAGACAGACAGACAGACACAGACAGGCAGGCAGGCGGACGGACGGACGGACAGACAGACGGACAGATGGACAGACGGACACACAGACACAGCAACACAGACAGACACACAGACACAGAGACACAGACATGCAGACACACACAGAGACGCAGAGACGCGCAGACACACACACAGACACACGCAGACACACGCAGACTCACGCAGACACACGCAGACACGCGCAGACACGCGCAGACACACGCAGACACACGCAGACACACGCAGAGACACACGGAGACACCACACAGAGACACGCAGAGACACGCACAGAGACACGCACAGAGACTCACACCACGCACAGAGACACACACACACACACAGAGACAGACACACACACACACAGACGCACACACACACAGACACACAGACACACACACACACACAGACACACACACACACACAGACACACACACAGACACACACACACACACACACACACAGACACACACGCACAGACACACACACACAGACACACACACACACACACATATACACACACAGACAGCAGACACAGACAGACAGAGACAGACACAGACAGACAGAGACAGACAGAGACAGACAGAGACAGACAGACAGACAGACAGACAGACAGACACACACACAGGCACACAGACAGACAGAGACAGACAGAGACACACAAACACGGACGCACGCACACACACACAGACACACAAACACAGACACAAACAAACACACACCCACCCACCCTCCCACCCACCCACACACACACACCCACACACCCACACACCCACACACCCACACACCCACACACCCACACACCCACACACCCACACACCCACACACCCACACACCCACACACCCACACACCCACACACCCCCACACCCGCACGCACACCCACACCCACACACACACACACACACACACCTGAAGGGGCAGACGCCTCGCATCCATGGAACTGGGAGTGGCATTTTTTCTTGCTGTCGCGACCCGGGATGCTCGGATGGACTAAAAGCTGCGGTCGCACATAGAGACAGACAGAGACACAGACACGCGTTCGCCGCGCGCACACCTGGAAGAACCACCACCATCTCGCGGCAATAGGTATTCGACACGCACGCTACATGTTGTTGCATGCGTATGTGCAACACTTGAGAAGCATGAGGGCTCCCCTCCCGCTTTTTGCAGTTGCCCTCTTGAAGCCAGCAGACCAGCACTCTTGGGTGAACCAGCAACATGCTGGCTGTTGATAAGTGCTCTGAACGGAGCATTGTGTTGCCTCATGGCCGTACTAATTAGCGTTGCCAACGGCAACAATACAGGAGACAAAGACATTGGACTGGCACAAGTATAGCTCGTTGGCGCGTTTGACCTGGGTGCGTTGCGCATCGGATTTTTGTTTTCTGTCGGCAGGTATGTGCCCTGCTTCGATCTCTGGGAAAGTGTCTCGGCAAGTTGGGAAGGGTGATTGATTTAACTGACATTGAATGGCATTATGGAAACGACAGGGTGGATGCTTCCGTTCGTGGCTGGGACTGTCCCCTGCTGGGCTTCAAACACCCATGGACAAATGAAGGTCAAATGAAGGCCTAGGTCTTGGATGCCTCCGTCCAACACACACACACACACACACGGACACGCTCGATGTGTCATATCCTTTGTGAACATTGACTGGCAAGCAACTCCGATTGTGACCACGGGCCAACCTATGCCTGCATAAGCTGCCCGAGGCCTGCCCTGGAAACGAAGCCGTGACATAACCCCTACCGTTCCCCAGTTCTCAAAACTGGCTCCGGAGAGATCCAGTGAGCATGACCCCCCATAAAGGGCAGTCGTGACTCCTTGTTTGTCGTGTCTTTGTTGAGCCTTTTGAGGGTTTACTACAAGCGTCATGAAGATGCAGCACGCCGATGCACTTGCAGTGGCCAGCGTTTGGGATGATCTGGGGGCCGAGAAAGGCCGCTGCCAAACAACCTGGACCCCCAAAGGACCCCTTTTTCTGCCTTTGACCCAAAACAAAGGGGTACACTGGCAGAAATAAGGGGTCCTTTGGGGGTCCAGGAACTTGGGCTAAGGCTTATTCAACGAGAAGGATAGCTGGCGAGACTACCGCGGCCTCAAGCAGCGGGGCCTCCGCCCAGTGCCTGGGCAGCATTTGCGAGAGCCGCTTGACAGTTCCCTTTGTCAGTGATTTAAAGATGCCGAAAGGACATGCCCCACTTTGATGCACTTCTGACCTTGGTCGTGATCTGATGCTGAAGCCAGCGTGCCTTAGGATGCTGGGCTCAACATGTCCTTTGCACTTGTCAAGGCCCAGACCTTCTGTTTTTGTTGCTCCTGGCTTCCCAAAAACGATCCATCCTTGGGCTCTTCCTTTTGGCTTCCCTCTAAAACCAAGAAAAAGAACACAGCGGCACAATCGATTCTCGGACCGGACACCCAATTCGAATTTCTCCCCGGATGGGAAAGTTCAGTGCGGGCTCGGCGGGTTTTGGCGCACGAGGACAGATTTCCGGACTGGCGCCGGAAGAATGGCGAGGGCGCCCTTTGGGCACATTCGGCGCCGGAGTGGGCCACGGCGAGGCCATTGGCAATCCCACCCGTTTATCCATCAAGCAAGCCATCAAGCAAGCAGGCAAGCAATCAAGAATTAATCATTCAGTCAGTCGATCATTCAATCAATCAATGAATCCTTCAGTCTATTTGTTCGGTCATCCAAGCTTAAATATACTCAGCTCTCCAGTTGTTGGCCGATTGCAGCGAAGCACTGGGTTTATTTCATACGCATCATACCGTATCATAGTTCAACTCGGGACGAGATTGAAATGAAAGGAACGTGAGTGCAATAGAGTTGTTCCATTTTGCAGGCGAATCCTTTCATGCCTTTTTGCGCAAGGCAAAGGTTCCCTGGCTTAAGCCCCCACACAGCTTGTAGCCATGTATGGTGCCAGGCTGAATGGAAGCGACTCAGGGTGGGAAGAGGCAATCGCAGAGGAGGACGCTTGGAAGGATTTGTTTGCCAACCCGGACAGCTGGAAGGACTACCGCGAGGGCAAGCAAAACCCAAGGTTCCCAGACTTCAAGCGTGATGACGGCCAGGCACTATGGCTAGACTCCTGGTCTACGCCGGACTGGGTGTCAAGCAAGCTGCAGGACAACGACCAAGTCTGGACCACGGAAACACAGAATGTGCCAGGCGGCACTGGTGCAAGCACTGGCACCAAGCCAAAAGACAAAGAAATGGAAGAACTTTGGAATCACTTGTTTGCAAACGGAGACAGTTGGAAGGACTACCGCGAGGGCAAGCAAAACCCAAGGTTCCCAGACTTCAAGCGTGATGACGGCCAGGCACTATGGCTAGACTCCTGGTCTACGCCGGACTGGGTGTCAAGCAAGCTGCAGGACAACGACCAAGTCTGGACCACGGAAACACAGAATGTGCCAGGCGGCACTGGTGCAAGCACTGGCACCAAGCCAAAAGACAAAGAAATGGAAGAACTTTGGAAGGACTTGTTTGCAAACGGAGACAGTTGGAAGGACTACCGCGAGGGCAAGCAAAACCCAAGGTTCCCAGACTTCAAGCGTGATGACGACCAGGCACTATGGCTAGACTCCTGGTCTACGCCGGACTGGGTGTCAAGCAAGCTGCAGGACAACGACCAAGTCTGGACCACGGAAACACAGAATGTGCCAGGCGGCACTGGTGCAAGCACTGGCACCAAGCCAAAAGACAAAGAAATTGAAGAACTTTGGAAGGACTTGTTTGCAAACCGGGACAGTTGGAAGGACTACCGCGAGGGCAAGCAAAACCCAAGGTTCCCAGACTTCAAGCGTGATGACGACCAGGCACTATGGCTAGACTCCTGGTCTACGCCGGACTGGGTGTCAAGCAAGCTGCAGGACAACGACCAAGTCTGGACCACGGAAACACAGAATGTGCCAGGCGGCACTGGTGCAAGCACTGGCACCAAGCCAAAAGACAAAGAAATGGAAGAACTTTGGAAGGACTTGTTTGCAAACCGGGACAGTTGGAAGGACTACCGCGAGGGCAAGCAAAACCCAAGGTTCCCAGACTTCAAGCGTGATGACGACCAGGCACTATGGCTAGACTCCTGGTCTACGCCGGACTGGGTGTCAAGCAAGCTGCAGGACAACGGCCAAGTCTGGACCACGGAAACACAGAATGTGCCAGGCGAAACTGCAGGCACGAGCACCCGTGCAAGCACTCGCAGCAAGCCAGCAGATAAAATACAGGAAGAGCTTTGGAATGACTTGTTTGCAGATCCCGACACTTGGACGGACTACCGCAAGGGCAAACAAAGCCCAAGATTCCCAGACTTCAAGCGTGATGATGGCCAGTCACTATGGGTAGACTCCTGGTCTACACCTGACTGGGTGGCGAGCGAGTTGAAGGAAGACATGTGGGCCCAAGGCTCTCGCACTGAACCTGCCTCAGACCAGTGGTCGGATTTGTTGAAGTCGCCACATCTTTGGGTCGACCATCGCCATAGCAACTCGGTTTCTCTTTGGCATCAAATTTTGAACACACACACAGCCTTATGAATATTTCTTAGCCAGCCAGAGGCTTACCCCTTTGCCGGGGGCCAGATTAAGACCAAGGCAAGCGCTCGGAGAAGTATCCCGACTTCATCAAGGTGGACGGGACCGCGTTGTGGCTCGGCAGCTCTTCGACCCCCGACTGGGTCGGGGAAAAGCTGAAAGATGTCGCTGGCTTTGCGCAAGAAGGCGATGGGAAGGCCACACCAAAGGCAGGGCAGTTGCCGGGGTCTCCTTCCAAGGGTAAGCTAAGTATGAGTAGAAAGTCAGAGTTTGTAGCTTTCGGTGTGATGTGCGCCAAGCCCACCTTGTGGATTCACGTACGCCCGCAGGGTTCCACGGAACGTAACAAGTATCTTCTGAGGATTTTCCTTTTGGCACCCGGCTTTTAGGGTTTCCATGGTTTCCTGTTGATTTGAGGGGGATTTTGTGCATCGGTGTTTATTTTGTGAGGCCAAGATGTCCATGTCCTTTTTCGCATGGCCACAGGGTCCCCCGTAAGCCTTTTGGGGCAGTGAGATTAGAACGACTTCCCCGGCATTGCCCTGAAGATGGTTCACGTCGCAAAAACGCGCAGGCGAGGGCAACGGACCCCGAGGAGATTGATCGCCTTTGGAAGGCTTTGCTGGGCCCAAAGGAGAACGGCTGGCTGGACTATCGCGAGAGGAAGACGCTTGGCATGGTTTCGGTTTCCTGGGGATTAGCGGTGCCAGTGAAGTATCTCCAAATCAAACATGTGGCTGGTCAAATTAGCGAGCAGCTCGAGAGTTGCTGGGTCCGCTGGTTGTGTCCAGACGCTTATCTCCTTGGCCGTTGGTTCGTCCTGATGCAACATGGCTTGGCTTGCTATCCTGCTGTTTGCATTTGTTTGCATCCTCAGACTCATATTGGACTAGGCGGTGCCTTCCCGCGTGTGTTTCCAGGCCATGGTTGCTGAACGCTGCAAAATGTTCAACTCATGATTCATATTTCAAATTATTATATTATTATTAGTATAATTTATGCTTATAATATGCATCATAAAGTAATTGTTTAAGTTGAACAAGTCAATGAAGCTAATGAAACATTCTAAGTCAGGTATGTGAGCTCAAAGCGAATGGGCTCCTAAGCAAGCTCCGCTGGGGCTGGAACAGCTGATTCTGAGTTTGGAATCGCATGGCGCTGCAAGGCAACTTTTATGTTGTGCAGCCCATTTGCGCGAGAGAACACGACATCCATTGATTTATGGTACAGTATCTAGTTCTACCACTAGTTTGGAGCCTATCCCGCAAGACCATCTTTTGTTAAAGGGCCCTTTGGGAGGTTAGTGGTGAATGGCCTCGGCCCAATGGGTGCAGGTTCCAGTTCCTCCTAGCTGGCCTGAGGGTCTTTGACACGGTGCCCAGGATACAGGGCGCCGATCCTCCGGATCACCCGGATTTTCTGAATGCCAACACCCAGGACAGAATTTGCCAGCTAAACACTTATGGGATAGTCTCACTCCTGAGTTCCTGGACTTTAGACTTGCGACCATTTTGGTGGTGAAATAAAGAAGCTTGGACGTTTTTGGCCAATTTCAGGAAGTGAGTGGGGTGCTTCTAGACCTTGATGGCGATGAGAGACAGAGAGAAAGCAAACAAAAACAAGGAGTGGGGTGCCACATCCCTTGGGCCGTTAGGGTGAGCATTTTTGGGGGGTCCTACAAGTTTTATTGGGATGTTGAGGGCAACACAGTCGTGTTTCTTGTAGGATGGGCTTTGGCTTGCCGACGCGCCGGACTGGGCGGTACCTCAGCAAAGTAGGAATGGGGGGGCCGCGAGGGGGGGGGGAAGGAGGGCATGAATCAAAGGCAGGGCGGGGGCAGAAGGGCAGCAGGCTGACTTGCACTGTTTGGTCAACATTTGGTAGGCTCTTTTCATCTATGTACATATTATGTGCAGTTCTCCTAATTATGCGTTACGGGATGAATAAAATGGTCAGCTCGATTCGGAGTATATGAGAATAGCGCTTGTTGTGAATGATTTTGGAACCAATCTGCTCTTGGTGTTCGAGAGAGTTTGTTCTGAGCTCTAGCGTTTTCTGTCGCCGGCCCTTGCCTGGCCTTTGTGTGTGGAGCTTGGCGATGTGCAGCGATTCAATTCTGATAGGCATTGACCATGTACAAACCATCAGCATATCTGCTATAAATCCATGTTGCATCACACAAAGCCCGGATCACATGTCTGTCGAGTTCCACCTCGAGGCTTACACTGACTTCAAACTAACACCAAACACAAATCTGCATCATTCGGCTCGAACCCAGGCCAAAGTCATGTCGCAGTCAAGTCATGTTTGACAATCGAGTTGTTATGTTGCCTGACGAAGTGAGAAGATATTCGTACAGCAGGAGTAAGCGAGCAAGATAAGGAAGGGAAGGAAGGAATGAAGGAAAGACGTTAATAAAGAAAGGCAGGAAGAAAGAAGGAAGGAGGAAGGAAGGAAGGAAGGAAGGCAGGAAGGAAGGAAGGAAGGAAGGAAGGAAGGAACATAAACACATCAAACAAACACAAGCAACAAAAGGCAACATTGAAGCAAAGAATGCAAGAAAGACAAAATCAATAAAGAAGGGAGGAGCATGTTCTGAAGATGAAGTCCGCATGGCCCTCAGGCGAAGGGAGGCTTTCGAGGAAAAAGTGCATTGAAACTAAAAGTTTCGCAGCGCTGCAAGAAAGTGTCGCAGCAATGATTAAAGCTGATGACTAACTCCCAGCTTTTCAAGGCCCTTTCTAGTAGGTTCTGGACACGAATTTCAGCATTCCAGCGTTGTGAATTCCGTGCGGACGTATATCCCGTTGATCGTGAGCCAGCTAGTTCCTGAACCTCAGAGGCTCGTTGCCTTTCTTGCACCGTGGAAGTGGATAGGCGGGTTGTGGAAGACTCGTCTTGAACAAAGGCCTCCTGTCCACTTCCATAACTTGATGGATAAAGGAGTACCCAGACAGAGTCTCTCAGCTGAAGCATTTAGGCCATTTCAAGAAGTGATTTTTGCCCGCCCATTTTGGGTCCTTGCCAGAAACATATCATTTTGGCCGTGTCCCCTTAGCCGCCGCACCGTGCTCAGTTGAAGAAGCTGAAGCAGCTGGATGCCTGAGAGTTTGGGCCGGATTCCCGGGCTTTTGGGGTTTTGCCCTCCGAATCCTCTCGAAGCTTTCTTGGGAACAGGGGCCGCACATGGCACGGTGAAACCATCACTTTTACCAGCTGATGCAGGACCCCCTCGTAAGCAAGTAGTCTTTGGATGCATCCTATGCAGATGCCAGATGGAAATTCGCGAGGATTTGGAGGAGCGGGGGTTTGATGATACCGGCCGGATGCATGCATGCAGGCCTTGGATCATGATTTGCTCGGGGCAGAGCGCAACTTATGCCAGGTGCACCATAGCAGACAGCAGAAAGCGCAAAGGGGCGGCCCACAAAAGTCACACGTGTCAGGCGCCCAAGCCAGGTGACGTGGGCAGACATTGCAGGAAGCTTTTGTGCAAGAGCCATCGACAACCTGCATTCATTCACCTGGGTTTGTCAACTTTCAAAGCCGCTTCCCAAAGTCTTGAAGGCTCATTCATCGTCTTCTACTGCTGTTATTCGGAACTGACGCATCCTTTTCCTTCCTGACGCTAGGGAAGACATTGAACACACCTTCGCATGCATCAACGAAAAGGGAGAAAGGAGAGGCACCCTCTCAAAAACGTTGAAACCTGAAAGAGGGTCCCTGGAGCAAAAGGGTTGGTTTCCTCTCGGGCTACATCGATTGTAATAAGGCAGGGTTTGACTTCTCGGTTTGGGGTTGGAGAATGACCAACAAATCCGGCTGTGTCAAACCCATCTCGGAGAGCCAAGAGAATCAAGCTTAGGCAGCCGGGTTGCAAGTGGCCGACACGCGGAACGACTGGTGTTTGCGTCCCCTCGCCGATCCATCAGTTTGAATTCGCATCAGCCACAAGAGAGGCGCTGGAAGAATCTGATCCGCAGCTGACAAATATGGCCCAAGGAATGTACATTTGGGCGCCTTGCACGCACGGCCATTTTTGAAGCACAGCCTTCAGCAGGCTAATAAGCTTAGGCCGCGATTCCTGGCTAAGATTGATCTTTCTGATCTGGATGTAGCCAGAAGGAACCCAACATGCTTTTGGCAAAATCATGACCGACTTGTTCTCGAATTGAATCAGATGCTATTTGCGGGATCCACCTAATTGTTCTAATCAACAAAGTTGTTTCCATAGTAGTGAGTTTGGAAAGGAAACAGCTTTTGACAATCCTGCTGAATGTGAAAGCCAAATGCAACACTGAGGCAACATTGAGCCAAATACTATCTTCCAACCTTTCTATCCTATGAACATGCGTACATGTTCTGCATGATGTATAGAGCATACGCATACTGATGTATGATTGCGCAGACGTTGCATTGCACAGACCATTTATTTGCTGTGCACAGCCGACCACCATTTACGCTTTTGGTATCCAATTTCCCCCTTTTGGGTGCTTTTTTAGCAAGTGGGTCCCAAAAGGTTCACCTGTTTCCCCGTTTTGGTCCATTTTTAGTAAGTGGGTCACAAAAGGTTCACTTTGTATTTCAGGATCCTTTGGGCAACGGAGCTTTCCCGCCAAAAAACCAATGGCGGCACTGGGCTTTCTGGCGGTGCTGGCATCGGTGCCTCGGCTTCACAGGTCCCGGATGGCACAGGTCCCGTGGGATCGCACTTGAGCTGCTGGACGTTTTAAACTTTTTGGGGAAGGCGAGTTTAGCGATACCCGCAAAGTTTGAACTTTTGTCTTGCCAACCCACTCAAATCCTAAATGGGGCCAAAACTCACGGAACCACATCCCTAAAGCAACCCTAAAGGCACTGCTTAACTACAACCAGCAGCACAGACAACACAAATCAGCTCCAAGCCAATCCCAAATCCGACCCTAAACCCGACCAACAGCAGACTGACATCCCTAAATCAACCCCAAACCACTTGAAACCAGCCCTCAGCAACTCCCTATGCCTCCCAATCAGAGCCAATAGCAACCCCCCGGCCAAGTGAGGCTGGTGATGCTGGGGATGTTGCCAGCCCTGCAGGAAAAAAAAGAAAAACAGCCCTGGGAAAAACCGGCCCAACACCTCTACCGTCGGGGGAAAAAAACAACACCTCCACCCACTGAGGAGAATGAGTAGTAGATGGTAAGTAGAGGTGAGGGAATGGTTAAAAGAGGATGGGTTGGAATTGTGCCATCTACTTTCACCCAACTTTACAAGGAGCTCACCGATTCAGAGTGAAGCGCGCTCACATCTGAAGGTCCTGCATTTGAGTACTCCTTCACGAATCGGACCAGGAATTCGTGCAGGTGTTCGCAGGGGTTTGCAACAGATGTGTATTGCTATATTAGCTATACATGTGTATATATATATATATACATGTGTGTGTGCGGGTCTGTGTGTGTATATACATGTATGTATAAACCATGTATATATGTATATGCATATAGATGTATAACCCTGGCTCTCTCGGCCCTTCCCAGTTCGACTTCCTGAGGCGCTCTTCTATGGCAGCTCGGCTGATGGTGCGGGTGACATTTTGGGCCTCAGGTCCGAGGGTGGGCCACTCAACGGAATAGTTCACAACTTGATTTAGAGCTGTTTGCGAAGGTTGGATCTGCAGGAGCGTAGTTGTTCAGGGCCGGCTGTGCGGCCAACCGGTTCTTGGAAGCCTCGGCAATTCCATCGGCAAGAGCCATCGAGTTGCGCACTTGCCCTGTGGCCAGGTGTCAAGGTGTGTAGTTACATGAACCGGTTGCCTTCACGGGGCAGATGCTTGAACATGATTTGAAATTTGGCTAAACAAGCTAAGTTGGCTAAGCAAGCTTCCTTCCAAATATATTTTTCTCTCGAGTCAGGCGGGCCATCAATTTGATCAACGTCTGGATCTGGTCAGCATAGTTTTGGGCCACAGCGACATCACGAGGGTTCGCGACCTCCAATCATCATCCCTGGTCTTTGTAGGGTACATCACTATGAGCTACCCTCGCGTGCACTGAAAAGGAAGGAAAATGGTCCAGGGTTCTGCTCGCGTTCGAGGCTCGTACTTTGTGCCGGCAGCGTGCCCAGCCGTCAAGATTTCCAATCTGACAGGGATTGCGTGCATGTCGGGGAAGGCAGGGGACCGGAATTAAGCAACCCCCCTTTCCCCAAAGGTGGTGGGGATGTGCAAAATAAAACCAACAAGGGGATGCAGTTTGCCGGCTCGCCTCGCCGCGGGCCACTTGTCTTCAAGGCTAGGTGGCTCAGCCGCCCCTGTGTCCATTCAACATTGAACAAGGAATCCACAAACAAAGGATGCCCTTTTTCCCACGGTACGGGGCAAGAAACAAGCAACAAGTGAGACACGATTCGATGATCCGTGCTTTGCAACACGTAGATTTGTTGTTCGATGGACCGCTCAACCTGTTCGGGCAAGTTGCCACGGTGCACCCTGCTTTATCAGGCCTTATCATAGCCTTGTGCTAGGCGAAACCTCCTTTGCACCGGCCCTCGCTTAGGCCAAGAAATACGACATTCGAGATGGCCTGGTTTTCCAGTGGTACCAGTGCCTCAGCCAAAGTAGGGACGGTGCCTTGGAATGCTGACTGAACGAGGCCTTTTTCCCATGACTAACGATTGGCGGAAGCTCAATCGATGGTTTGGTTGCAGCGTGTTGCTGTTGTGCAGCCTTGACCATGTCAATGACTGTTCCTTGGCTAAAGGTTTGACTTGGCATCTGGGGGTCAGTTGTTTATGCTTGTTGAGCAGGGGACCCATGAGCTGAACGAGGATGTTCGCGCCAACTTGTTTAGCTGGTAAGACATGCCATGTGCTGCGCATATGTAAACTTGTGAAGCCTGGATTTGAGATGTGCAACACAAAGCATCCAACATTCTGGCATTCCCCGCGTTTGCTTCTCAGTTATTTTTGCTTGAATGGTAATCACACACTTCACAAGTATGAATGAACCTTTGTTGCTGTGCCACAGTCAAGGGCCTATGGCGTTTCATATTGTTTGACTTGCCACAGTGTGTCTGTGTGTGTGTGTGTGTGCGTGTTTGCTCACCGTTGTAGAAGGATAGCTTAGGCCACAGCGGTGCAACATGTAGATCATGGCAGATCTCGGTCATGGCCCTTGGGACACCCTATTTGGGGGGCTTTAGCTGTGTTTGGTTGGTGGCGGGTCGCCCGGTTTCTGCAGATGTTTTTCGGGTTTGCTTGAGCTTGGGGGGGAGAGGGTGAGAAGACTGCGGGTACAAAGGGGGCCTGACCTTCCCGTTGACCCTAAGAACATTAGAAAGGGGGGAGGTGGTTGCATTTTTTTAACATGGCCGGGGGGTTGATTGCCGCCCTGTCCGGGCTGCATTGTTTGGCCACATGATTCGGTTTGCCATTTCGACGTTGCTGGTCACAATGGGGGATAAAAGCTAAAGCAGGCTGGTGAAAAGGCAGCGTTGGCACTTCTGGCACGCGGTACCAGCTTTTGGCCCGAGGTCCAATATGGGAGGGGCGCATGATCACGAAGCAGTTTGAGGGGATCCCAGGTTTCACAACGTTCAGGGCTTCAAAGCGCTGCCCAGGTGCAGCGGCATTATGCGATGGCCTTAGTGTGAGCGGCCAAGAGGCACAGCAACACAAACCCCTTTGCGCCAAGATCTCAAAGGGGCAGGGTACTTAGTAAGTGGCTAGTAAGCCTGGCTATAACCTACTTAGACTTACAACCATGGCAAGTGAGGTTATAGGAATGGTTGTTAATCACTTACTAAATACCCTGCCCCTTTGGGAATTCTTATGATATTTTAGCGTGCCAATGAAAGTAAAAGCCATGGTTCGCTGCGAGAATTTCTTACTGTAGAAGCAAGTGGAATGGCAAGCCGTGGCACCGCGGCTGCAGCCCACGCTAGCGCGCTGGTTTCCACGAGCCCCGCTCAGAACACTCAAAGTACAGTGCCAACTCACCTACCCGGAGGGGGGGGTTGGGATATATCGAGGGCCATTTCTTTCAGGTATCGAGCTGAATCTGGACCCACTGGATATCTCAGGTTTGTGAGGTATTGTCCTGCTGTTCCCGTTGGTTAACTTTTGCAAGTCGCCGGCTTTGTTCAGTGAACCTTATCCAGAGCTTGGCCTCGCAAAGCGACGGACTTTGAGTCGTGCTTTTTCATCACGGCTTGCCCGAGGCAATTCTCATGAAACCACCAGTGGATTCTCTCCTATGTCCCTCAAGCGATTAAAACTCATCACCGTTTTGGCCACAAACATATGCTCCTTTTGGGTGGGGTGGTGCTTGAAGGAGACACTAGGTCCCCCAGTGGTGCCCTTTCACCCTTTTCTGGGGGAGGGTTCCCTACTAAAATAGACTACAGGAAAAAAGGGTGCCCTTACTCTAATCTCTCTACTGGAGGACCTACCGTTTTTGTTCCGCTCATTGAGGCTGGCAGGGCTGATCTGCGCAATGGTCCGCAACGTGTGGGCCGACGACTTCAGAAGCCTTGGTCTCAGTTGCGTCGAGCGTTCCTCGACGTCGGGTAAGTGGTTAGTCTGGTTGTCATCCACATAGGAGACTTGTTGCCATGGTAACTTATAATTAATGGATGTTGTGTGGGTTGCAAGCATGTTTGTTACCCGCTTAGCTAGGTACCCTTCCCCTTTCAGCAGCATGGCTGCTGAGTGGTGGCAAACATGCGAGTTGGCGGGGAAAGGAGCTGGAAGGTCTCCTGAGAAAGCTGCCCATCCATATACTGTCCGACGGCCCCCCCGCCTAAAGGGGATCTGCGCCTGACGGCCCTTGAGGCATTTCACTTCGTGTTGGTTTTCTAGGGGTAGCTTCCATTTCCATTCTTTCCAGGGATCCTTCTTTCTAGAAAACCACCAAAAACCCTGGCGAAATGGCTGGATTTTGAAAAGAACGATGGCTGAAAAGAATGGACAAGGAATCAACCCCTGGAGGATTGGCACAAAGCGCCCTGTGAACATGAGTCACAAAGGAACTGGAGCACGGCAATGAAGGTTGGGGATCCAGACGCGGCGCAACCAGGACAAAAGTGCAGCCCGGAATGTGTGTTGCTGACCCGGTGTGCCGCTTTTTCAAGGGCTATCGATGGGGCTTACTCAGGGCCCCGTTTTTATGGTGGTGTCCCTTGTTTTAGTCTTCTCTGGCTTGCAGCTTAGGGGACTCAGGATCTCTCCATTTGGATCTATCCGGAAACTTGAACAACCATTTGAAGGAGATCCCCCCCCCAAATAGGATACTTCCATTTGCGTAAATGAATATGTTTCATTTTCCCCTGTTGGTTTCAAGGGAATTTATCACTGGCGGAAATATTGTTTTTCCAGGGGACTTAAGCAAATGGAGGGATAAGGATTGTTCTCCCCCCCCCAAAAAAAATAGGATCCCGGGTGGTTTGAAGGCGTTGTCTCCGCAAAAAAGGCTCTGGCTTCTACGTCGCGCCGGAGGGCCTCATCTCGGGGTCCATTTTCGTGCACCTCGGCCGAATCGTCCCGGATCTGATGAGCTGAAAGCGAATCGAGCCTCAAACCTTTGGGGTTCCATTGGGAAACGGGATGGCTGATGAGAATGGCAGGCAGCTGGTATGGGCGCGTGCACGATGTTGGTTTATGATGATTTGCAAAAACAAGTTGGTTCTCACAAAGGCTGGAACCAACTGGGGTTTAAAGTTTGCCATAATTTGAATTTGGCGATTCCGACTGACCCTCCCCATGGACTTGTCAGCCAAACAATATCCCAACCACGTGCAGTTTTTGGCTTGTTAGACTCGCCCTTCCGTTCCTATTGAAGGGAGGCCCTTCCAATTTCTCACGGATGAGGCCAGTGCACTTGGCAAAAGAGAGGCCCAGTGCACTCGCCTCCCGGCTCCATCGGCTCAAGGATCGGCAACATTGTGGCCACCATCTCGGTCAAGGCCACGGAACTCGCGAGACGGGTCGCTGAATCGCCCATGCCTTTCTTTCATGGTCCGACAAGGAAACCCAGAAGGAGTTCCAAACAAAATGTGACATGTTTGTTGTCGACCCATGTTTGGCACCCAGCGCAGACTTGGACCAGAAGTAGCAAGCGTCAGCATGCAATTTTGTTTGTTGGGCGCTTGGCACAGTGGAGTCAGAGAACTCAGTATTGACTCGGATTTCTCATTGAATTCATTGGCAGTGTTGTGGCTTTGTTCGTGGATTTGAACCCCTGACTCTTGTAGAGTAAATGTGAAACTACTCCTTAGACACCAAACCGCCAAACCACATTACCAATCAGAGGGAAGCTGAGTGTTGCAGGGAGTAGTTCGGCACAGATCTTTCAACATCAGAAAGAGTTGATGCGCACACTCAGAGTCGCTGTGCATCGCAGCAAGCCAGGCCTCTGTTCGAAGTCAGAAACAGTTGTTTGCATTGATCAGTTTCAGGCTGTGATTCTGGTTGTTGCCAGCTTGAAGTTTGATGTAGGAAGATGAGTGAAGATACTTACTTCCTGAGTTCCTGGACTTTAAACTTTGTGGTAAGATCATTTCAGAGGTAAGTAACAAGTCTGGATGTGAAGTGAAGATATGCTTGCAGCAGCACTCCACGATACTTATGATTGTCTTTCTTCGACAAACCCCAGGTTTCCGCAAGAGGACGCCTTTAAGATGGCAAGCTGTGAGAAAACCCCAAGACAGCCTGGATGCTTTACAAAAGCGTGGTTTAAACACCCAGCCATGCGACAACATCAAAAGCAGAGTGAAAAATAAGGTAGGCGAGCTATTTGGTTTACCTGTTCCCTTGCAATATGTAGAGTATTTATCAGAGCTCGAACAAAACCTGACATATTCAAGCTTTTCACGGCCAGGCGTGTGGGCTGGGCAACTACTACACGGTGCTGGACTCGGCACAAACGCCTGCCGGGCGCGGCTTGATCCCCACGCAAGTACGAGGGCCACAGAATTCCCTTGGTTAATTTGGCCACGAAGTACCCTCCCTCCCACATCAAGACGAAGCTGATCTTGGTACCTTCCCACAGGCGCCATGAACCCACTCTAAGTCTTTAGGCCCCGTGCACCGAGAGCGGCAACTTCCCAGAGTGGCAGTGGGCCTTCGAGCGCGGCTTCACCTTGGGCAGGGTGTCAAAATAGAGACGGCTCCCACCACGTGAGTTCATGGTGGCCCTCGCAAATAGGGCTTGCAATGTCATGATTCCAGTTCAAATAGCTTGCCAGGTTTCGGGCTCCATGGTCACCAAGCTCCCTGAAAGAATTCTCCTCAGGCCCAAACACGTGCATATCTTTGCCTTGCTGCTTCGGAATGCTCAACACCCGCAGGTCTGTTTGTCCTCATGGAAGTTTCAGCTCGACGGAGGTGCATCAGCTCTCCAACCTGGGCCTGACATTCGCCATTGGGGTCCGAGCCACGGAGCTTTCTGCGGGTTTCTCCGGCTTCCAGAAGAACTCACCCCAAAAATCATTTTTATGAGTGTGTGCGGGTCAAAATAGGTGTTCAAAATAGGGTGCTTATGGGGGACCCCAAATTTGTAGGGTGTTTAGGGTGTTGTTTCTATGTGGGGGACCCCAATAAATGGTGTCCTTTGACTTTTCTTAACCAAGGTGAGTTGGGCGCCCTCAACAAACACAGCGACCCATTGTATGTACACAGGACATTTGCTGGAAAGTGTTGCTTCCAAAACGGTGTCGGTCGGGGCTATTTTCTCATATATGGGATCTCTTCAAACAGTTGTTAAGCCCAAACCAAGGTCCATAAAGTAAACTCCGGACAGCATCATGCTACGTGTTGAATGCCGTGCTAATCATTCGGGCTTCGAATGACCTTCAGGCTTGCTTGTTTCTTTGTGCCTGACCGGCTTTCTTACCTGACGTACCCGATCCCTTTAAGTAGCGAAAATTCCAACATCCATCTTGGCATGCGGAACCAGATGTGGCCCAGGTCTATGGCAAGAATGTGGGCGTGCGCCAGGGGCTGCTATAGAGGAAAACTCATGTATCTGTGAATTTGAGTTGGCAATCCAATCAACAATGGTTCCAGCAAATGGGTTGGATGTTTTTGTGGATTTTCCATGTTGTTTGTCCAGTTGTTCCTCTTTTAATACTCTTTTAGACTCTTTTAGTACTCTTTTGCTATCTTACAGGAGTGGATCCCAAAAACCGCATCCAAACCGTTTCCTAGAATGGTTGGTGGCAGACATGAAACCCCACCCAAATGATGTCCACCAAAGGGTCCCCAATGTACATTCATACCCATGTTCAAGAAACTTACGGCTGCCCTTTGTCTTGGTCCCTTGCCTTTGTCGCGAACGGCCCCAAACTTCCCCCGAGCGGGGCAACTCGACGCAGTGCCATGGTCAGCTCGGGGCTACGTCTTGAAGCCCAAACCTCAATCATGTTATCCAATGCTTGCAAAGGACGATGCATATCTTTCTGAGGGGGTCCTTCAGTCGAGAGAGTGACACACTTTGGGTACCTGTGAGTCCGGAGACATCGGTCCGTGTTTTCCCTGAAGTTGCTTAGAAAGCTTGAGTCAGGGATGGGCGCCTAGAGATGGACATCCAAGCCCCCAACCCCCAAGCTTTCCGGGGTGAGGCACTCATGAGAAGTGCTAACAGCATACCAAACTTTAACATGAACTACACTAAATGGAAGCCCGCTGGAAGAGACTGTGTGTGTGTGTGTTACTTGTAGTGGTTACTTTATGTTATTTGAGGCTTCAAGACACAAATCAAGAGGAATTTGATCACGAGAGTCCACTCAGACTCCAGCGCAGGTACAAGCAGAGCCTCCAAAGGAGGCGCGTGATGCAGATGTCAGATGTTGCGCCCCGGTCTCCTAAACTTCTACTTGTCTATAGGTAGATCACCGATTTAGTCTGTTCAGGGATCCTGTTTTTTGGGGAAGGCCACCCAAACTCGCAAAAGAAACAACAACGAGGGAACCGGCGGAGGGTTGAAAAGAACGGCTGGAACAGGGGAGTCAACCTGCCAGCTGGGGCTAAGATTTTGGGCAGCCAAGTGAAACCCGGCATTCGCGCTGGATGCACAAGTCGAGATGCCTACTTTCTGCTCGTGGCAGGCCATTTTTTGTTCAGCCTCCACAAAAAAAACCACCGATTCTGAGGCTTCCGTGGGGCGGCTGGAGTCTTAATACCTTAATCCTGCCTCCATACCATCGGCTTTTAAAAACAAGGGGAAAAACTGGGAAACAGAGGGGTGGTTTGTTCTGTCCAGCGAAGATTGTGAAGATTAAGTTGTTGAATTGCTCCTCATTTGCAGCTCACAGCTTTCAAGACATAGGATCTCAGGTGCAAGCTGGAGCTCCAATTGGCAAGGGCTTCAGAGTCGTGGCTTGGGGCCAATGAGTTTCCGAGGCATGTAAATAAACGGTTGCACCATGACGGATGCGTTCAAAGGCTTGTGTCAAATATCAGTGGTGCACTCACTCGGACTCACAACCGTGTCCATGTCTTTGGGGGTAACCGCGCATGTTGACCCTGTCTCACCTCGTTTGTTACATGGGTGTCGAAGTTCAGCAAGTACCCAGGAACGCTTAGGGAAAGATGACACCGGTTGAAGCTCTAGGATGGTTCGCGCTAGCCCTAAACCACTACCCGCAGAACCTTAAGTGGCTATGAGCTGTTTCGCCGCCCTGAGGCGTTTTCGCTCTTGACTGTTGAGTTTTCAGATGACGGCAAGCTCACATGACTTGATGGAAAAGGGTCCCAGGGAAAACACTTCAGTGGCTGGTGGTTTTGTATCCCATTCAACCGGTTTGGTCAAAGGGAAACTGCCCCAAACCAGGACCCCCCGAAGCGTCGAACGGTTCCATGTACGCAACCATGCTATCAGGGGATCAACCCCAGTTGCCCTAGTTATAACTCCACGCTTTTTCACCCACTTCAGTCATATCCACAGCTTTTTGTTGCCCATCATACCCTCAGTTTACCCCAGTTAATTGATGGGAGATGATGGGAAGGTCATCAACCACTTCGGCGGGGTGGGGGCGAAAAACCTTTTTCCGTTCTCGCTTAGATCGGCCTGGCCTTCCTGGGTTTCGTCTTCGTGCTCCTGGGCATGACGCCGGCCCGCACCCCAGCACAGGCTCGAGTGCCCGTCTTGGGGACAGATCCTGGGTCAACATTTGGCCACATCTTATATTTTTGCCGCATGGTAGAAGAGATGAAGGTCGAAAAAAAGTCAACAGATGTAGGAATCTTCAAGCATAGATGATGGTGTATCTATAGACTTGGCTCAAGCTCCGCTCCTTTTGGGCTGGGTTGGGCAACGTCAATTTTTAAACAATCAACCTCGAGGAAAAAACTTTGCAGCATCCTGAGGCCGGCAACAAATGTGCAAAGCAGCGGGAGCAATTCTTTCCAAGATCACTTGGATGAAGACATGGGAGCAACTGTAGATGAATGTAGAGTTCGCAGGGAGCACATTGCAAAGCCGCCAAGAGTCATGCCCATTCGCACTTTTTTCGCCAACGCACCTTTTTCGGCAGTCGAAGGACCTTGTTTACCCATCATTAATTCCACCATGAGGCGGCATTTGGTCCACCAGTTTTGGCCTTTTGGCCGGTTCCCTGTTCTGCTCAGACCATCTCGCTATGTTGGCTGCTGGGTCTGTGTGTTTTTCCTCTGGTCAACCTCAGGTCATGTTCATGGAGAAGGCGCGGCAAGTGTCGAGCATTGCTTGTAAAGGTGGCTGTGAAGTCCTCCCCTGTGTTTCCAGGCATATGCGTACACGTGTCGTGTAGCAAGACGCGAAGCAAATTTCCAGTGTTGGTGGGATGTGTAGTGCTTACCCCATGTCCAAGGTTAAATTTCTACGTTTTGACTTGCCGTTTTGCGGCACGGACTTGGATGCACGGGCATTGCCAGGTTCGCTGGGCCCGTTGGTGCAGTTCAGCCCTCACATGCGTCGACGCCAAAAAAACACCTCCCAGCTCTTTGTGCAGTAAAGGGCGCTCCTCGCTTTTCATGTGCACTGGTTCATTCCCACAGATATTATCGGCCCAACATTTGCAAGCAGGATGCACTGAATACACCCTTTCCAGAAAATGAAGGAACCCCCTTACAGAGTTTCTTCAGGAATCTCGAAGGCCCTATGCAAATGGGGTCATGACACCTGAATTTACTGTAGCGCCCCATTTCAATTGGCCATGGACCCCCTTAACCACCAAGCAGCGCATCCCACCCCACCCCAACTGCCCAACCCAACCAACCTTTAGAAGTGTCAGCGCGTTTAGGCGGTCCCGTCAACTCTTTTTCCTCGAAACGCCATGAAGGACGGCGCGATGGCTGAGCCCAAAGAGATGGCAAAAGCCACCCCTGTGTCGCGGCCTTGGTTGGCAAAAGCTCGAAACCTCTCAATGGGGTTCGTTTCTTTCGGCATCCCTTAGTCGCTTCCCCCTAATACCTTACTAAAAAATATTCGCTGGAATATTTATATACCTGGGCCCTCGTAGGTATGCCTTTTTTGTGCTGTTTGGGCCAAAGGCTCCTTTTGGTGCAAACGACACATGTTTTTGCCTCAGCGCATTTTTGCATATTTTGCTGTTTTGCGAAACCAGGATGAAGACGAAAAGGCGACATTGCCCGACCCAAAGGCGACATTCCCCGACCAAAAAGCGACATTTGCCGACCACGTGTTGGCAAGATTTTGAAGCAGCACTTTTAAAAGAAAAAGGCTCTTTTTGGAGCAAACGACACGATATATAGCTTTTTCAGCAAACGGCAGAAAAAATGCACACCTGGAGGGTCTAGGTATAGGGGAATTAGGAGTCAGATGGGCTCCCCCAAAAGCAACTGTACTCATTCCTTGAAACGGGCCCAAACTGCCAAATTGTACCTTTGATAAATAATTAGGGTGTGTGTTTGGGGGAGGCCAGGTAGGGAAACATATAGGCAGTGCATGGGTTACATGGCAGTGCCATGCAGGGAACCCTTTGTTTCCTGGTGCGACCTAACTAATAAATATCAATTGCGGGAAAAGAAGGGAACAAGAAGCCTTGGTTTTATCATTTCTGGTTGGTATAGGCTATAGGGTTAGTACGGGGAGCTTGCAAGTGTGCATTGGAAGGTTCAGAATTGTTACTTCCGGGTGTTTGCGAAAACACAAGGATGTTTATTAACAGGGTGCATTTATCAATAGGGGGGAGGGATGAACAGGAAGATCTGCGGTGTTCTGAAGATATGACTCAAACCCGCAATTTTGAGGACGCAGTCCTTTGGTGTCCTTTTCCGAGCAAATTCTAGGGGTCCCGTGCCCGGGTTGTAGCAATACTGTAAAGTTTAAGTCAACCCGAGTTTTTTCTGTCACCAAAGATGCCAAGCGTGACGGAACGATGTAGAGGACTGACTCAGTCAGCCGACAGCCGACAGCCAGCTGACAGCCTGAGCAGGTGGGCAGATTGCAGAGCAACGTCGTCTCAAGGTGATTGCCCCCATTGCAGCTACAAGGCTTCGCACCAAGGCCAAGGATTTGGGTCTACAAAGAATTCTGGACAAAGCAGCGACTCAAGCTCAAGCTGCTCCCTTGGGTGAATTGTCATGGATGCATTTGTGAGATGTACTGGAGTGTGATAAGGTCAGAACAACTGCAAAACAACGGCCGGTACGTAACAAAAGTTCCTCAGTGTGCCATTTGATGTTATACAATGTCACACACACACAGTGCCTGCCTTGCATGACCCCAAAACCCTTGTAACATGAACGCGGCGTTTTGAGTATAGGCTTGTAACACTGTAGGCATGTTCCATCATGTATTGGATTGTTGGGTTATGATGCTTTGCAAACCAGGCCGCCACAGCGTCGGACAACCAGACACTTCGTGACTTCTCAGTTTGCTTCGCACCCAAGCCTCGAACACGTAGCACAAGTAAGAACGTGTGGGGATTTTCTATTCAGGCTCTCCGAAAGATCCACAGTCACCCTTTGATCAGTTGGCATGTGGTGTCTGACTGAGCCACGGGTGCCAAACATCCTTCGGCGCCTTCCGCCTTCCGGGGATGCCTCAGGATGGCAGAGTTGCCGATGGCTCACTCCAAGCGCGCCTTGGAACGAAGATTCGGCCTGTGCGTTTGCCACACTCTGTGGGTTTCCGGCTGCCAACGACACAGACAGGCAGGCAGGCAGGCAGGGAGGCAGGCAGACAGAGACTCAGAGACGCGGAGACATGGACACGGACACACACACACACACACCCACCCACACCCACCCACACCCACCCACACCCACCCACACCCACCCACACCCACCCACACCCACACCCACCCACACGCACACGCACACGCACACGCACACGCACACGCACACGCACACGCACACGCACACGCACACGCACACACGCACACGCACACGCACACGCACACGCACACGCACACGCACGCACGCACGCACGCACGCACGCACGCACGCACGCACCCACGCACCCACACGCACGCGCACACACACACACACACACACACACACACACACACACACACACGCGCGCGCGCGCGCGCGCGCGCGCAGAAACCTAGACACACACACACACACAGACAAGCAGGCACACATGCACACCGGCACACAGGCACACAGACAGAGAGACACACACACGCACAAACACCGACACAGACAAAGACAACCACACCCACATCCACGCACACCCGCACGCGCGCGCTCCCGCACACAGCACACACACACACACACACACAACACAGGCGCGCCCACCACGCACACCACGCTCCACAATCACACACAGACAGTGACACAGACACGAACAAACACACAGAAACAAGCAAACAATCAAACACACAAACAACCACAACACCCAAACACAAATTGATAGCGTCTGCATTCACCTACTGCGTCCCCCGCCCCCCATTACCCCAACATGCGCACGCGCTCCCTCCATATGTGACACATGTTGCAATTGTTGGTCCCTGAAGAGTGCACCAGATCGCCAGCACCCCTGCAGTTTCTGGCCCACGCGCCAAACCCGCGAGGCACACGCTCAGGTGTACGCCAGCCCTTGGCTGGGTTGATTCCAACTTTGCCTTTCTATATATATACACATATCTTCATATGGTACTCATATTTATTTATATATAGATGTATACATGTATTAATGCGTTTTGGCCGCTTAAGGCTTGCTTGTCAAACGCGACATCAGCCTCCGAGGATCCGTTACAGATCTCTTCCACGAGACCGGCGCGATCTCCGCAATCCCTGAGCCCTTTGGCCTCAACTCGGGACTTTGCATGGTGGGCTAGGTTCACTGCCAGGCTTGCCACAAAACAGACTAAATGGATCGAACAAATAAAAGGGTCAGATGAGTCTGGCAATGCAAAGTTGTGAGGTGCTCTTCCAGAATTTACGAGCCTTGCAGGCCTGTTTGTTTCCATTGCCCACGGGGGGCACAAGTATTGGTGGGCACTCGAGGAGAAAGAAGATCCACCGTCAATCAATTCTAATGGTGGGCTGAGAAAGTGCCTGAGCCACGCAAGCCAAACGCTTTGAAGTTCCCGTGCTCAACCTGGGGGTGGGTATCTCGCAATAGGAAATTAGAAATAGCCAATACCAAACTAGATCTAAACGGGCAAGTTTTGCACCGACGCCGGGTCGCTCGAGTGACAACACGAAACCATTTGCATGCATGAAAAGTCGCATTGATTTCTGCATGTTGAATCAAGTTGCCATTTTGGACGACCTTTGGGCCCGGAAAGGGGGGGACCCCATTTGGACGAGTTTTTCCCGGTACCCGAATCGTTCGGGGGAACGACGAAGATCGTGGTGCCTCCAATGTTTTACTTGAGCATGGGGGTTGAACGGGTGACCTTGTTCGGGGGGCAGAACATGCCCCTGACGCATGTCAAGGGGGTCTCTACTTTGGACAGTGTTCCATCAGGAAAGGAGCTTAATGAGATCTATTGTCACTCACTACCCCCTCCAGTCAATAGTCTGCATCTATCTGATGGGGTTAAGCTCCACTCACGGACTGATATCCTCACCGCGCGTTTAAGTTGGTGCACCAAGCGACCGTTTAATCTTTTGGCAATAAACGAGTGGAAGCAACCGATGGGAACCAGGTGAAAACCTTGCACAAGGGCGGTGTTGTCCCACTGCCGGCCAACCTCCCCCCCCCAAACAAAACAGAAAAACGAGAACAAAGCAATGGCACTTAAGTACTCCACTACTCCAGTATTTTCGCTGGCTTCCAGCCTTTGTCGTTCTTATAAGTTTTGTGGCAACGCCAATATTTCCCCCTACTTGCCCCTTGTTTGCCCATGCCGCGTCGATTTAGCTGCCGCTCGTCGTGCACTGCCGCTCGTCACGCCGCGTGTGGGACCACAGAGCTTCAGATCCCACTCGCAGATTTGTAGCAACCGCTTCCGCTTGTGCAGGCTGCAGGTCGCGTTCGTTCCGTGATTCCTTGCGCAAAGGATGACATATACTAAATTACACAGTGAACAAACAAACTCAGAATGCTTCTACTTTAGTAGGAGTTTCAACACTTAAAACACGAGACGGATATAAAGTTAAATAAATATGAAGACATGATTATTCAGATAAATATATGCTATTCCTTGTCAAGCCTTAAAAAAAAAGCGAGTCAACACCTCTGAATCCAGGATTTATGGAGCGTGTCAACGTGCTTGAAACAGTTTTGGAACAACAGGAGGCTTGGTACGGATCTAGCTGCACCTTCCCCATTCTCTTCAAGGAACAGGCATCCCTGGGAAAATGGGTTTCTAAAGAGAACGATCAAAGAGAATGGTTGGAAGCAACCCTTACGGATGGAGCCTGAAACATCACACGCTGGCCTTTCAGGCCGAGTCGCCAAGAAGCAGACCGTCCCTATGTGTTTTAAAGCGGGGAGGAATCAAATCCAAGCCGTGGGGGTCCATTTGCTGACATGAATCTGTTGTACTTTGCCCTGTTGGTTTCAAAGGGAATCTACCACTACGGGAAATATGTTTATTGGTTTTCCAGGGGACTTCAGCAAATGGAGGGTGAGGGTCCAATTCCCTCTTAGGATGCATTCCCATTTCAGTGGCACCAGTTTGTCCTTTCTCCCGAGGCATTCGGAGGTCGGAGTTTCTTCACGGCTTGCCGACAGGACCGGACCTGGAGATGGCTTGGTACCCAAACTGGCACCCTGGCAATTGGAAACATGGACTAAAACCTGCGGTCCAAAATCCAGGTGGTTTAATTTTGAGCCATATGACGGCCCTAAAGATTGCGGTTTTCTTTTGTTCCTGAGCCCCAAAGAAGGCCACCCGTATAATACATGAGTGTGCACGTATACGTTGAGTCTATCGGGCCTTTCCCGGTTTGAGGTTTGACTTTGCTGCGTGACAAGCCTGGTCCAGTGTGGATCTGATTTGATCAATTGCAGCCTTCTGTTTTGCCAACATACTTTTCTAGGACCACAAGAGTTTATTAGTTTCGAACATTTAAGATTCAACACCGCAAGTTTTAACACGACGGGTGGAAAACATTGGAAACACAGTTGTAAAATGAAGCCTTGGAAATTCCAATTTGCTGAACCCCTCGAACGTGACAGCATATGTGGATCACAATAGAGCCCACAAGCTGAGTTCCTTTGGTAGGGATGTTTTAAGGGGAATGATTCGGAACCCTGCATCCTCCATGTTTGTCCAATCCATAAGCACGTTCACCCTCACATCTCAAGCTGATGCCAGTCTTTTCCACACCCAGGCCCAGCATCATGTAGCGGATGTAGGCTGCAAGCAGGCTGCACGTGGGGCTTTTCAATCGCAGGGCGGACCCCTACCAGCAAAAGGAGATTCCAATCAAGATCGTTGTTTTTGGAAAAGGAGATCCCTCCCCCAAGATTCCCGACCGAGGTTCCGTTTGAATCTGCGCTGCCAATGGCTCCGCTGCGCCTCATCCAAAATGCCGCGCCCTTTCGAGGATCACCCGCCCAGCGAAGCTGCTCATCCCAGACTTTAGGCAGATGGGGATGGCAAGGCAGATGGGTGGAATAGCGAAGTACTTGCTGGTCTGATAGACAGGAACGGAGTTGTGGCTTCATGTCGTTTCCTTGGGAAGTTCATTCCCGAAGCCCCCGTTGATCCCGTGAGAGCCCGCACGAGCAGATGTGTTGTTCCGTTCCGCGCGCTCGCCTTTTTTTTTGGGGTCAAACGCGCAGAATCCCGTGAAAAAGCCTCAGAGGATTTGCGCATGATCACGTTGGGCTGTGCTTCAAGCAGCGAGCATTGGTTTGTTTCCGACGTGGTTTTGTTCCACTCGTCCGTTCACTTGTTTTGTACTGCGTATGTCAGTCCCTGCCAGGCGTGCAACTTGACCCTACGGGCGCAAACTGGAGCCTATGTGCTAAATGAAGGTTTGAGGCAGCCTTAGGCGGAGGCGAGCAGGTGGACGTGTGTTGTGTTGCCTTTGTGTTTCTGTTGTGAGGGGGGGGCATAGAACTTGGAACCTTTTGTGGGGATCCAACATGTGTGCGATCATGCCTTTTCTTCAGGTCCCTCCAGCCACAGCGCCTTGCCAGGGAGGTAAACTCTCTGACATGGGACGGCCGGGTGGCTCAGACCCCGCAAGCTGCAAGTCGAGTGTGTGAATCCTAGGTTCGGGATGTTGTGGGATTGAGTACTGACCGATCGGAGTGGTTCACTCAATTTGTCAGCAGACATTTGCCGTGCATTGAGCCCGGCACCACCAGACAGTGCATTATCAGCGGTGCTGCTGCACTTGCGTGCGCTAGCAGGGCATTTGCCCAGATTCCAATTGTGTCACATGTTGGGGATGCAAGGATGGAAAGCGAGCGGTGGGGTCAAAAGCTGAAAGTATGAAGCCACAAATTCCAAACCGGTGGCTCCGGGCAGTGTTGTCCGAAACGCAACTCTCTGGGAAGCCAACCACCACCTTTCAGGCCAAACATACGTAGCCATGGGTGCAAGCATAGGACTTGTGGAATTCATACACGTAGTCTGACCCGAGTTGCTGTACGATCGAAAGCCAAGGCACTCTTGGCCGGCCCCAGCTGCATGACGAGCCGCTTTCGCCACCCCTGTCCTGCCTGGGCGATATGAGCCTCTCTGGCTGAGCTTTGGCGAACGCAGCTGACGCTATGCCGAAAGCGAGCCGAATTTTGTTTACGAGCTGCAGTCACAGAGTGGTGCATCTCGTTGCAGGCCCGACACATGTGATCATGCCTGCTCTCCACTTGATATAATTCACATCCTCACTGAAGTTGGGATATTAGACAGGGTGTGGAACATGGATTGACAAGACACGTGTTGTTCTGGCCCCAGGATGCCTAGCATTTGGGGCATGCGCAATGGAAAGGCTTTGAACGAACACACGCCTGTGGACACAAGTTTTGCGATTGTGCTGATGACTGACTGCTGGATTGTGAAAGCTACGGGAGCCACCCTACATCCATGCCGGCCACATCTTGTTTGGGAACGAATTGCCTTCAAACGGGTGACGTTTGTCCAGGCTCGGCAGGAGATTCAGATTGATGATCACCCAAAGATGAACAGGGGGCAGTTCGCTGTGGCCCCCGAAGAAGAAAACCCTTGCCTCATTCTAGTCCAATCCTTTCAACCTATCGGGAACCCAGTGAGTATTTGCAAGGGTGCAAGTGCACCTTTTGGAGGAGGCAACAGTTGACACTCATTTCCTGAACGCAGCCAGGTATGGTGGCGAAGGAGGCTTGGCGGGATGGCATGGCTCCCCGCAATGGGTGACTGTCGGTGGGTATTTCGTTGGTATTTCAGCTAGTCACGCCGTGTCACGCCCTTTTTTCTTGTTAGAAGATCATATTGAGTGCGGGTTTCACTAGCCGAGAACAGGTATCTGATTTTTCGAAAACAGGCAATAATATCACCAATCCGATGAAGTTGAGATCTTAAGCTGAAGCACACAATGCCGGAAAGCGCTTGCGCCACGAAGCAACAACGCACGGATTCCAGTGGGCCAATCTTGCAGATGGGATGGGAGGATGTTACAGGCTCGCCTTCTCTGGCAGCTCTAGCTGATAGGTTTTGCCAGGGGGTTGAGCTGTTTATTTCGAGAACTTTGCATCGGTTTGGCAGGCGCCTGTTTCTGGAAAGGCATGGGTCCCCCCTCCAATTCAAGGGCTTGTTGAACTTGCATTTCTCCATGAAGCGAATTACTCAGGAGGCGGGATTCTCCATAGAATGCTCCAGCGCACCTGGGCATGCATTGACATGATTCTTGGTTCTCAAACAGGTGCCTGGCATTTCCTGTAGACTGGGTGCCTTTCTTTTGGGCATGGGCCTGTTCCCAGCCGAGCGAGGCAATGGGCTCGCTTTTTTGTCGGATCCGAGCCAGGTCTCGTCAGAGTACACCTCAAGCCAAATCAGCCCAGCCAAAAGCTTAGCGTCAGGTTGCACGACCAAGTAAAACCGCTAAGCCTACTCGGTTGTTCGGCCAGATGAGCAAGTGGTTAGCCACCAGTTTTACAACCCGCCAACCAAGGTGAACTTCGCTTGAGGGGCTTAAAAGAGGTTATAACTTAGCTTGCCAACAGCTCACTAACTTGGCCGAACACCCAAGTTAGAGCGCGCAAGATTGTGCGATCAAATCCTGGAAGGGAACTGGTTTGTCCAGTTGGGGCATGTTGGGGCGACTATGCCTGTTTCCATTGAGCATTGACCATACGCACAAGGGGTGAACGCCAGCCACGAAAGCTTGATCGAGCTATTTCATTGGTTCTCTCGCACATAGTCACTTTGAACAGAGTGCGTGTTCAGGGCTTGGGGGCTGAGAAATAATATGTTGTTTGCTTCCTAGTGGTGGAGGGAGGTTCCCCCCCCGCCTTGCCCCGGGTCCAGTGCAGCAGTCTTTTGTTTATTAAGGCTCCTTTGTGTTTAGTACAGTGCTGTTGCTGGTTAGTATGGCGTGCCAATGCTGAACCTGGGAAGCAACCAAGCGGCTTCAACGGAACTGGCAGAGATGGTGATGAGGTGCTCACTGAAGCGGCCCTTTCAACGACTCTTCGCTCCGTTTGGAAGATGTTTGTAACGAAATTTCGGAGCTGCGCCCCTCAAAATGATCGGCATTTTCCGGCTTGGCCGACTGTTGGCAAAGGAAAGGCCCGAGGCAGAGGAGAACAGGAGAAAAGAAAGCTGCCGAGTCATGTTTTCTAAGCTTACGGAGTTTGCAGATTGTGTTTCGGCATTGGGGATGCTGCCCCAGCAGTCGGATTCCGTGTCTAAGACAAACATGTTTGGCATTATTGATGGGTGCCTGTTTTGAACAAGGCTGTACGCTAGTCACTGGTGCGCTTGATCCACAAATCGGCAACAACGAGCGAAACTGTCAAATGCAAGTGGAGACTTTAGGCTGGGTTTCCTGCACAGCAGGGAATGTGGAATCAGAGTGCCTTACTGTTCTCGCTTGGGCATTGGTGGTTTTTCTTCTTGGATAACGTGGCAATCCTGGGATGTAGGCCTTTTCCTGGTGGACACCGCTTTTGCCAAGACCACCGGGGTGTGTGTGTGTGTGTGTGTGTTAACCTGTGGCCAAGTTGCCTGCACGACGCTGGCAGTTTTGACTCACGAAGGCTGCGGAGCCCTTGCTTGCTCCCGAAGACGACGGCTTTCGGAAGTGGCACCGCGCTAAGAGTGGCTTGGGCAAGTACGTGATCCCCGGTCCACGTTGCCATCGAACCCAAAGGGTCCCTTGCAAAGGAACGTCGTTTTCCTGGACCCCTCAGCCAGGTTCCATGTTAGTGAGCCAGCGGAATTTTGCGTGCCTGGGTTTCTGGACTTTGGACTTGAAGATCTCTTTGGCGGAGAAGCAAACGATTCGATACGATTCGGACAGTTGTAAGGTCAACACAGGGGCTGAAAGGGAGCTTCACAGTTTTGTTTGTCACAGCGGCCGGGGTGAGGCACCTGGGAGTCGGAGGCTTGAGTCAAAGCTGCCTGCGTCGACAGGATCATCCAAAGACATCCAATCTTCAGCAAGCAAACAGTCCTGAGACTTCTCGTGGGCCCGTGGGCACATCAATAATGTCTAGATCAACTCAGTCCCCAGAGTTGTTTTCACCTGATATGGCACTTTTGTGAACATCATCTCAGTGTTAAGTCTTGGTGCAAGTGAAGCACCCGCTAGGGTAGGCGGCTTGCTGCTCTCCCTGGTGGCTGGGGTCTTGTACTCGGCCGCGATCCCAGTGCAATGCGCTAGTGGCAGACGCGCTTAGCGGAGTGCTTTGGTGCCTTTGCCAATGCTGTGGGGTGGTTTTCCAAGCGTTTGGACAACATAGGAATCGGTCTCTCCGAATCGTTTAGAACGCAGCCTGCTTTTCGGGCCTCAGCCCTATTTGCAGCGCTTGCCGCTTGCCTAAAGTGCGAAGGCAAGAGTTGAGGACTGCGTTGAAACCGTTCGAGCCTGCACTTAATTCCAGCCCGACTGGCGAGAACACGAGCTGTGGCAAACCCCCTAGGCAGTATCGTTTGGAAATGCAGTGGAAGCTGAATAAGCTGTGCCAAACATCGCGAGCGAGACGAATCGTTGAACACACGTGGGCGCAGCGTGAACATAATACGTAGTGTATTGTTTTGCTTGAGTCTTGCGTGAGTTCTGAACGAAGCGGCCCCGATTTTGCGCGAAAGGCCTTTTGTTGGCGCGAAAGGCATTGACAAAGCGTAAGACAAGCGTGAGGGCAACGTGAGTGCAGGGACTACTGCGTTGTCAGGTTTCACAAGCCAGTATTGCCTTTCCCAGCCCTTCCAAAGCACGTGCTAAACCAGGGTTTTTACACAAAGACCCCGCGTTACCGTTGAAAGACCCCAATTCACTTCTGCGCGCAGTTTCTCTTGTCTCATCTACAACCAGAATTGTCGGAAGCACGCAACCAAAATTGCAGCCACACCTTTCCGAAAACGAGCTCTCGCAAAGCGAGGGATTTTGCAAGTGCGTTCACGGGCTTTTCACGGTTTATTCACGGGCTTTTCACGGTCGTTTCATGTTGTGTTCACTCTACGCTTGGTTGAAACAATTTTGCTCCACGTGTTTCAGTTACAATGGCAAAACTATCGGGACCCTGCCAGCGGTCTGAACACAGCAAACCACTGGTAAAACCAGGTCGTTTGCAAGACCGAGTTAAGCGAGGTCAAGCAAGTCCTGGGTTTACAAGTGCTGCCTGGCTTTCACTGTTTTGCTACACGGCTTCGGTAGAATCAAACATTGACAGAAGTGTTTCCAGCAGAAAAGCGGCTTGCTTTCGAGCGGTCTTTCATGCGGGTGTTCCACTGCAAGGGGTCCCTCTTGCAGGATTGTTTTAACAACTGCTTTCACAGTCTTTGGTGCTAGAATGAGGGCCTGCCAAGGTCATGCAAAGCTCGGGCACCAGTTACCCAAACCGCTCGATCTTCAACTGCACCTTATGGCATAGGAGGTCAAGACAAAAATACCCAAGCCAGCAAAAAAATCAACTAATGCCTTTTCCCCACGACGAGTGCATTCTGGGTTGGACATGCGTTTTGCGGGTCATATCGTAAGACCTAAAAGCGGGCCTTTTGGTGTTCTCGCTTTATCTCCGGAGAAAACTTGCCGGTGCTTAGTAGGGAACAACCCAGGGTTTTGGGAATGAACCTAGGGATTCCCTTAAAGCAAGCAGGGGTCATTCCCTCATTCTCTGCTGAGAACCAGCAAGAGAATCAACAATTGGGACAGTTTGGTGTGACGTGCGAGAGGCACGAAAGCAATCATATGCCCTGAGTGCGTTGCTTTGTGTGTGTTCTCCTGTGAAGCGGGCTCGGGAACTTAAGGACTTCCCCCCAAACAAAAAATAGAAAGCACAAACAACGTAAAAAAGTAGGCAACCGCAAAACAAAGCAAGGGCCACAGACAAGTGCACGGACTTATTTTATCAGGCAATGTGCCGTCGCCGGAATGAGGGGTTTTTGGTGAATCAGATCTTTTTGCAACCATCGATGATTGCCAACGGAACATATGTGAGCAAATGGGCCCGCCCCACCCGAACTACCGCTACCACATGTGGCGAGCGCTCTCTCAATTCATGGGAAGTTTGATCTGTTTGGCCAACCCACTCAGGAAATGAGTTTGCTTTTGCATAGAAAGCAAAACGAAAAGGGGATCCACCATGACACCCATCATGGCTGCATTCTCGTAGCCAAGTTCGAGGCCATGTATGTGCCGCAGCTGCTGTGGAAGACACGGCTGCAACTGGAGGGCTCCGAACTCAGATGCAGACGATCGGCATCGGTGCCCCAATGGGCAATGCTTGGGTGGGAAGGACATGTACTTCAGGACTAGATCCATTCCGCCCTTGTGACTTGCGGGCGCGCACGCGCGTGTGTGCCCAAGGTGCAAATGGGTGCGTGTTTTCTAGGGGACTCCCCAAATCCTCAAAATGATGATCTTCCTTTTGGTCTCCCTTGAAAACCACCCCCCAAAGCGGATACCAACTCAAACAAAGACTACAGCAAATGCTTACTCCGAATCAAAGCTTCAATCTCTTTGGCCAGCGACTGAAGTGGAGCTGCAAAGAACGTAAGTTTCAGGGGGAGTCAATATTTGTGCGTTTGTGTGTGTGTGTGGGGGCGGGCTTTAGCTTTTGTGTGCACATGTATTTGTGTGCGTGTGTTTTTTTGCTCAAGGCTAGTTTCCATTTTGGGTTGGCTTAGAAGGAATTTCGAGGGGCACCACCAATGCGTGTTTTTCCTACGTTGAGACAAACCCATTCTTGACGTGTTCGGAGAAGATTGTGTAGCAGAGTGGTCCAGCGAGCGTCTCAGATGCCAGGCTACAAAGCCGACGGCATCGATTTCTTCTACTCCATGACCGCGCCCCGGCTCAATATGTGCCTATTTCAGAGTTTAACCGGACCCACCTTTTATATATGGTTCCCAGGGATGCCTTGGACAAGTGTTTTTTTTACTTGGTAAAAGAGCCTATCTTGAAGTCTCCGAGGGGTTCCTTGGACAGGTGGAATCATTCCTAATTCAGCCAAGAGCAGAACAGACAGGGGTACAGCGCCCCATAGATTGTGCCAGGTGCATATGTCTACCCCCCCCCCTCCCCATAAGGCGACAGAGGTAAGCTTGTGGTCTGCTCGGACACACCTGACACAGAATCTGTGCGTTCAAAATGAAGCAAGCAATTTCACTGACTCGGTCGCTCGTGTGTGATTCTGACGGGTTATAATTGAATCAATATCACTCACAGTCATCAGTTTACCCAATCCACCAGGAGATAGATCTGTTTCTTGTTGGGCTTTCTCAGGCCCATTGCCCCTGTTCTGTTGTCGAGGCATGTTAGGGTTCACGATTTGTCCTCATCCGCAAGAGGGGAGAGCAAGAAGAGCGATACTTGTAGGCGGGGGGGTGTAAACAGGACTTGCACTCGTTACCACCCCAAGGGAAAACTGCAACGCAAAGATGTGAAGGGGAGGTTTCCGGACTCCCCCCTGAAGTCGGGTTTTGCGCACTTCCCTTTTTCGTCGGAAGGCGTGGGAGGTCAAAGCTCCGCGCCAAAAAGCTAGCTTGAGACAAGCAGGGCATTCACTTTGTCATCTGGATTCAGCTCATTTATCCACTGGCCATGAGAACTCAGGCCTCGCACCTCGCGGCAAACCTGGCTTGTTGGCTTTTTTTGCGGCCTTTAGTTTCCTCTGCTTGGTCCATAGCTACATAGCGGGGCCCATGAGGTCAGAACGGGCGACCTCCCAGTCTTCGGGACTCAGATCCCGAGTCGCAGATTGCCTGAGGTGGGCGTGTACGTCACCTCCACGGCGTGGCTTCTTTGCGGCGGCGCGTATCGAAAGCCGGGCGACCCGGGGCCCGAAGGATCGGATTCGCTGGATTTCTCGGCGTGGAATCCTGGGCTGGGCTTAAAATGGGCAACCCCGAGGGTTCCAACTCCTTTTGGATTATGGCCAGGTCTCAGACAGGAGAGGTTTTTAGAGGAGCAACACAAGAAAAACACAAGAAGCTAAGACACTCAACAGCAAGCAAATGTGTTCTACCTTTCGGGTCAATAGTTGCAACTGAAGAGAAAGAGGGTTGCTGGGGTAGTGACGGATAGCGGTCACATTTGGGTGCCCTCTTTTGCAAATATGGTTGAGTCGAAAGGATCGTGCCCCTTATAAATGGAGTCCTCACCATGAGCACGCGAGTCCCTTTAGTATTTGTTTGGCTTGCAGGCTAGAAGTGTTCTTGGCTGCCAAACACTTGCTTTTCATGAGTTAGGCTGTGAGTTTTGAGAAGATCATTGAAAGCAGTGGTCTGCGAAACGCTTGGTAGCGTAACGGCCCAGTCCACTCAGGAAGTTGGTCAAATGAACTTTCTGGGCTGTGCCACTCTTGGAGGGGAATGATTCAAGTTCTCCCATCGATCACCAAGAGTCACCCGTTGGGTATTATCAGTTTTCGGAGAGAGCCCCGGGTAGGCGCATGTTTGGAACCTGTTCTGGCATCAGAATTAACACGTTAAGCTTCACAAAACATGGACCAGCATCTACAAAATAATACGTGTGCTTCGCCAGTTGCAAAAACTGTGGTAGAAGGGGTCACCAGATTCCCCCAACTCCATACTGATTGGGATCAAGGCATCGCTGAGGTTATCCCCAATGGGTGGTTTGGATTTGGTGGTTTTGGAATTTGACCCCCAAGGTTTTGTGGAGGGTCAATGGAATTTCCACCCAGGAGCACCTCCAAACCACCAATCCAATGCAAGAGGGAAGATGAGTGGCTTCTTTTCAAGGGAGACCCAAGGCAGGAACTTTAAGCAACCCCCCGCCCTCAATGAAGAGTGAAGGAACCCCCTGTCCTTGAGCGCAACTGGAAAACCACCCTGGGTCCACGTCTCCAAGCCAATCAACTGCAATCCCAGACAGAAGCCGAGCTTCCATGTGTTGAAATGAATACTTATCTAGGTGTTCTTTGTTGGTTTTTAAGGGAATATTTATCACTGGACACATGTTTGCTCATTTTTCTCAGGGGGCTTACACGGAAGTATTCGACATGTTTCTCTTGTCATACTCAGTGGATCCATTTGCCTGTGATAGGTAACCAAGGGCTTGCTTGCCACCCTGTAAACACCAGACCAATCGCTGAGGTGCCTACTCTCAGCCCCAAAAAGAAGAAAAGCCGAGGTACCTTCGGCAATCCATGGAGAAGTCGGTCTTGAGACCCGCGCTGCTCTCGGGGCTTCTCTATGGCTGTGCTGCCGGAGCCTCGGCGTGCAAGCCGCGTGCAAGCCGCGTGCCTGGCATCCAGCCGGGGCTTGGGGCCATTTTGGCAGGCGCCGAGGTTCAGATTTGATGTCCCCCTGTTGGCTTTATTGGGAGCCTATGACTGCACATATGTTCTCATTTGTTGTGGGGGCTTTGAGCACATGGGTATAGAAAGTATGCAATATAATGTATTAAGCTTTACAACTATGTTGGTAGAACCCAACGTGAATGGGCTTTTGGGCACTTTTGGGCTTGTTCGGTGGCTTCTATTAAGCTTCTTGTGGGTCGCTGGGCCACTCACCACCTGTGCTGCTTTAACTTATCCAGAGCGAATCGGCCTTTTGATCTGTGGGTGTCCCGTTGTCATTCATCTCCCTATTTCATAGCGAGCTCACCTGAGATTAAAAAAGAGCTCGCCATGATAAGGATCTTTGCTTAGAGATCCAATTATTATTTCAGCTTTTGGAATTATAGTTAACATTGTAGATGCATGATTTGTCGTGGCCATCGTGGTCCCAAAAGAGTAACCATTCACGTCCCAGTCCGCTTTGGTCAAGTGACATCCATTCGACTCCCCACCCCCAACAAGGAAAGGGATGATTGGGGCCGCTTTCCTTCTCAAAACAAGGGTCGCACGCGTCGCATACCGCATGCGTGGACTGTTCAGGTCCTGTGCTTTCTCTATGCCATGATGGCTGGGGCGCCCGGATTGGTTTGCTCGAGGGCGGCTTGTGGCTGGAGGTGACCGGAGTTGGCATGAAAGGTAAGTTGGTTTGTGCGGGTTGCATAAGATGGCATGGGCACATGAGGAATCGATACAAGCTGTGCGAGATGCTGGGCTGCAGCATGAGATTGCTTTTTGATCAGGTCTTTCAGTCTCCTCTTATTGGCACTATGCGTCGTTTCCTGCGTTCACTTGGAGCTTTCTAAGCTCTCGGGCAATGCCTTGCACCTTTAACCTTCAGGGGGCTGTTCCGCAGGGGGAAATATATGAGGGTTGTCAAGGTGTGCCAATGGAAGCAGCAGCGGTCGGTGAAAGTCAGCCTTCCAACTATCAGTTTCTTGGAGAAGCTGTTAGAATTCAAGCCTTGGCAATATGAAGGGAGCCAACCGCAGAATTTCGCAAGGTCTTGCCCTATGCCATCGGCTATGCTCTGGGCTGCGGTGGCGGGCTGGCTGCCGGGCCCCCCAAGCAAACGCATGCGCGAGCCTTGGGCATGGGCCTCACTACACCTGGGGCTCTTGTGAGTGTCAATGGAGCACGCGTTTGGGTGGCCAAGGGCAAGGGGGACCAACAGGACACCAACCATGTTGAGGGTTCAGGCTAGGAAGAAGCCCAAGTCGCATGTTTTAGTTGGTATAACCTGGTGAACAGTAAGTACGCCAAACGTATCGTCATCCTGGTTGCCGTTGGTAGCCTCCCAAATTTGTTGGAACGCGTGATGTGCTGTCCGAACTAGAGCTTGTTGGTTCTTGGTTTCACTGCGTTGGCTCATATTTCACGGCCTACAATTTCGTTTTTACAGCTTCGATGGCCTTAGTTTGGTTCCTGGTTTTCACCCCCTTGACGTCAGTTGCCAGTAGAAGGTAGAGTACAGGAGTCACTGGGTCGTTTTTCTTGTGTGGTGGTTCGCGGTGGAGCCAGCATCGCATTGGATGTGAGGCGCCTTTTGTAAGACACATCAGTCCGTTTGGAAAACTGGAGGGACTCAACAAAGGGGAGCCCTTGGCTGGGAATATGTTTGACATTGGCTTCCGGGAGGTTCCGTACAGGTTCTACGCAGCTTGCGGCGAAGGGTTTTGGCCCATGCTGCGCGGAGAGTTTTGTGGACTTGATCGCTTTCAAGTAGATCACAGTCTGAGGGCATCCGTCACAGGCCGCAGAATGGATGGTATGGGAAGCTTTTTGTGTGTGGACAAGGCCTGTTGAGGAATCAGGCAATATTAAACAGCCGGCTATACCCGCAATTAGTTGGACAGCGGCCAATGCACCGGCACGCTTGGGTCTCCAATGGTTTGCAAGTAAACCCGCCAAGTGTATCAAAATATAGGCCCGGAATCAAGACCAGCTCCTTATTTGCTATTTTGTTTTTCTTCAATATCCTGGAAGCCGTAAAGGGCTGACAAGAACAAGTTCCCGGTTTTCCTTGTTTGGACAGGTGGGTGACGGTGAGGTGTGCGCGAGCGCCCTGTTTTCGAGCACTTGAGGTGAGCCTCCTGTGGGGGGTCCTGGCCTTTGGCGAGGCTGGGAGACTCAAAGTGGGGGGAGACTCGGAGGCGTTCAGTGCGTTCTTGATTTGGGAGGTCATGTTGGAGGGTTCTTGATTTGGAGGCTTTCCCTTTCTCCCTTTCTCCCTTTCTCGCTTGCTCGGTGGATACCCCGTACCCCGCCAAACATGATGAACCCCAAGAAGGTTCCCTTTTCCCTTGGCCAAGGTCGCGTGTTTGCCGTGTTTTTGGGAAATTGGGACTTGGGAGATGACTTGCTTTTCCACCGTTTGGACATAGTTGAGCTGAAGAGAAATACTGGTTCGAGTAGCGCAGGAAGGGCGCGCTGTGCATCTTTCAGATGGACAGTTCGGCCAGCATCACCCTTCCCCATCATGGCCCAACTTTGACTTGCATGGTTACCCCCTGTGTATCGGCACCGGTGTTTTTCTGGCTTGGATGGTCAGTGTGGTGGCTTGGTGGTGTGATTCAATGGCAAGCGCCATGAAGGCAAAGAACCCAAGCATGAAAACTGCAAGAAAGACTGTTTTTTAAGCGTAGCTTCATGCGCTTCCAAAGGCTTTTGCTTCATCTAAAGAGAAACCACCGCGATGCTCACGATTCTGGGGTCACCAGCCAGCTGACCTATCCATTAGGTGCAGCAGTCTCCTGCAGCTCAAGTTTGTTGAGGAACAATGCGTAGATGGAAACTTGCCAGTAGTCATGTAATGCCACTGCTTCAGCTGGCTGAGGGCAGGATAGGAGAGGTGAGACCAACAAGGGTGTGAAGTCCCATTCTTCTTTGCGGGAGTTGCTTTGTTCCTTTTCTGAGATATGCTGGGAGCACGTGACCTGCCTTCGTCTCTTTCTCTGCAGAAGTTGATTTAAAGGGGCTCTTCTGATGACAGCAATCCACATGTTGTCAACATGTCGTGGTTCGGCCAGGCGTTTGCCGGGTTTATCCCCTTTCCTTGAAACCATGGTTTCAACAAGACATCGCCTTCGGTTTAACCCAAAAGACCCTTCCCTTGAAATGGCGCATTTAGCCGTGAAATCGCAAAGTTCATGGGCGACCATGAAGGGGCTGCGGCTACGCCAGGCCTCAAGCAGACATAACAAGCTTTGCGTGATGCCTGGGCGCCCGGATGGATTCAGAGTGCTTATTTTGAGTTTTTTTTTCATGCACGCGGTGCTTGCGCTGGGGTGTGAGAGGAGATACCCATGAGGCGATTCCAGCAGACAGGCTTTCCTTGGTTCCTGTTAGTGTCCCGTTCTGCTTGGCTCAATCAGTTTGTGCCAGGGTTGTGGGATCAGGGGGTTTATCCCCACTTCTGTGATACAAGGGAATCTCCCTCTTTTTCGGGGGGGTTAGTTTTTGGGAAGCCCTTTCTGTTGTATCACAGAAGTGGGCATTTCCCACAGCCCTGGTTTGTGCCCACTGTTGCATGATTTCGCCTTGTATGTCAGCACCACTTCCAATCTGCCAGTCACAGTTTGGAGCCCGCTCGCCTGTGGCCTCATTCGGGTCATGTGCGGAGTTGGCACATTGTGAGGGGATTCAGTTGATTTGTTCGGTTTGGTCGTTCGGCATCGAGATGGCATCGCCTTTGACTGATCTTCCCAGTGGCTGATGCAGTTGATTTGAGTATCCCTACAGCAGCCTGACATTAATTCGGGTGACTGCAGCGCTGCGCACGTTGAATTAGTTGCAACCTCCTCACAAGGGCTGCAAGATTTCACCAAGACAACAAGAGGTGTTGTTTGAGCTTGAATTTAACGTGACATGCTTGAATTGAATGAGTGCTGCAATCATGTAGCAGTTCCTTCCAGAGAGGATGTCTCTCGGGCAACACTGGAAATGGCATATTTCTTCAAACTGACAGTAAGTACCAACGCTTCATCATTCTGCTTTTACGCATGCGGGCCCTTTATCTTAGCGAGACATATTGTGCAAGGACTGCAAGCGCGTTCAGCGTTGCAAGTGCAACTGGGCATTCTATTGGTTGCTTGGCACTCAATACCCAGCATGCATGGTGCTCTCAAGACTGCGACGTGCAACGTTTCTTCCTTGCTGTTTCACATCGTTTGCTGGTGAGTTTGGCAGCCTTGGCATGGGGCTACTAGTTTCAGCTTGCTATGATTGACTTTGGCAGGGCCTGTTTTTTGTTTTTTTTGGATGAGCAGTGTGCCCTCATGGCATGTTCAAATGAGATACTTAGTCCTACTGAGCAGCTTTCCATTAGCCGGATGATAAGTGAACTCGTATATGCAATGGAACGCGCATGAGGAAGCGTCAGGCTTGGCAAATTTTTGGTCACAGCCAGGGGCTAAAGCCAGCTTTCTCATGGCGGTCTCTTACTTTGAGATCTCTCATGTCAGATTTCAGATTTGGCTTCCCCTTTACATGTCTCGGAATTGCCCTTAAGGTGTCTATGGGTGAGGCTTGAAGGGGAAAATTTGAATTTACCAGATCCTTTTGAGAAGTCGTTGGTTCTGCCAGGTTCCCTGTATTTGTCGACTCTTGATGGATTGAAACATTTGTGGGCGTTGGTTTCATTGCGAGTTGTTTCATTCTTGAGACGCAATGTAGGAAACTCCCGCGCTTTGCTTTCGCCGGAGGTGGTCGTTTCTGGGGGTCTGCATCGGCATCATACTACTGGGTGCCTCGGCGTGAGGCGTGGACATGGAAAACCCGCCAGGGATCTCACTTGCCCAAAGCGAATCGACCGGATCTGACCTTTTGGTTTTCCCATTTTGGTTTTCCCATTTTTTGTGAAGGTCCCAAAAGGTTAGCCTTTGATTTCAAGGTCTTTTGGGCAAGTAAGGGATAGCTCGGGCCACTTTGATCACCAGCTGATTTATAGGATCCCCGGATGTTTGTGTTTGGACGTATCCTTTGAGGAACCCTTATGGATGTTCTTCAGGACCCAGTCCGGTTCTATCGTACGGGAGGCTTCTCCTTTTCCTGTCCTTGTGGGGCTGTGGGATTGCCAGAGGAAGATGCAAGCGTCACTTGGCAGTGAAATCATCGCAACCCAGACGCACATGAGAGCAAACATGCCAGCGGCCGCCCTGACGTACGATGAAATCAACGTAGTTTCAGTACAAATCGAAGGGCTAGGTTTACAATCTTCCTAGGTTGTTGATTCCATGAGTGTGAAGCTGCTATTCTTTACCAAAAAAAGGTAAAAGGCACCGCTGAAAGCAAGCATTGGCAGGGTCATTGAACCTCTTCACTCCCGCTGCCTAGGCTTGGTTTCCTCACATGCCTTGACAAACGTAGAGTTTGTTGCAGCATATATGCATCTGGGATGTTCCATTTGTTTGTGGAATGCTATTGCCCTGCCTCACTGCAAGAAAGGTAGAGTCCGTGCGGTCAATGTTGTATGCAGCCCATGGGGGAGCGGCCGCTCGCTGAAGCCATTTGTGTCCTTTCCAGTAGCTGCACTGCCACGTGCAGGCGAAGGGCCAAGATGACCAGGTGCCGAAGCCGCTCGAAAGTGAACAGTGAGATCTCTGTAGCAGACTGTCATCGCGCTCCCTCAGGCTAACATGGAAGCTCCCAGAAGGCCGATGCTATGGAACCAAGCCTTCCAAGGGAGCTTCCATGTTCGTCCGAAGGTCTGGCTCTTTGGCAAGCCTGGGCGGCGCCATTTCAGAGCCACTGAATTCAGCAAGAGCCTGATGGCCCTGAGTTTCTGCCAGGGATGTGCGCCGCTGCTGTGCAAGTTGAGCGGTCCATCGATGATGGATTCAATACCTCTGGCTGGGATGTTGAGAAACATAAGCCTTGTGCCGGTGGAAATCAGTGGTTTCCCAGCTTCCCTTGTATGTCCCACCAGGGGTTATGCTTATGGACTAGGATTAAGGATCCCTTCGCATTTTGAATCACCCAGACTCTCATCGTTCAGGTGCCAGCACGGTTCCGGGGTTTGCCACAAATCGTGGCATGCGCATGCGGGTAACGCAACATTCTGCTAACTGTACAAAAGGAAGAGAGGCATGCGCACGCCAGTGTGCCCTTAGTGCCCTACCTGTGCGTCGCTCAGGGCCAGTTACGATGTATCTAGCTCAAGCATTGGCAAGCTTTAACAGGTTCACTCTGGCCATGGGCAGGACCAGCCCCCAGCATTCTTGCCTTGACACTCGCCTAAATTTAACCCCTGGCTAAGCGTGTGCTTTCCGAATGTTGTTGCTGGACGATGTGGGTATGTTTGGGTTTAAAGCCTTGGCATGATGATGCCCTTAGGGTTTGCCAGGACAAGGCTAAGATGTGCAGTCTTCATCAGGTGCAACCAAGCAAGGTGCCCAGGCCTGATCCAGCACCCGCTTTGCGCCGCTTCGGATCGATTTCTGCGCCCAGTGATGAACTCACAGCCAAAAACTCTGAGCCTTTGCAGCCGCAGCCTGTAGACGTGCTGTTTTTTTTTGTTTTTTTGGGAGGGGGTTGCTATGGCCAATCAACGCTTCCGAGGTACAGGATCAGAGGCTCCCTTAGCACTGCTGTGTATGTATGTGCGCGCGTTTTTGTTTTTTTTTTAATGCTTGCGCTTGCGCTTATCGGTGTTTGTGTTTGTGTTTGTGTGTTTGTGTGTTTGTGTGCTTGCTCGTTATCTTGAGTGCTTGTTTGCCAGTTTGTTTGTTTGTTTGTGTTTGTTTGCTTGTGCGTTTGGTTGGTCTTGTTCTGTTTTGTTGGGTTTAGTTGGTTTGGTTTGGTTGGTTTGGTGCCTGCCTGATTGTCTCTTTGTCTATGTGTTGTTTGTTGTTTGCTTAATTGTTGCTTGTGTGAATATGTCATTGCTCTCTTTCTTGCTCTCTCTCTTTCTCTCTCTTTCTCTCTCTCTTTCTCTCCCCCTTTCTCTCTCTCTCTCTCTCGCTCTCTCTCTCTCTCTTTCTCTTTCTCTTTTTGTGGGTTGCCTTGATTTTTGAATGCAATGAGGAGGCACACCAGGTGGCTGCTTGTTGAAACGGGTTTTTGAATGGGTTTGGCTTCATTGCTTTCTTCCGCAAGCGGTGCTCGGGGGGCTTACAGCTTTTGCCCAACGCCCGCTCCTTGCAAAGTCGGCTTCCCAGCAGAAATCCCACCTTGAGCACGGCCTTCGGCAACTTCGCGGACGGTTGCGCCGTGGGGTTGATAGAAGAAGAGGCCCTGTTGCGTCTTGCACCCTTGACACGGCTTCACACCGAAATGCTTCCCAAAACGGGCACCACGGCCCGGCCCGGGCCCTATTTCCCCGAGTGGCCGGCTGTATGCTGGGTTCTGGGCGACTGTTCTTTCTGCCTGCTTTGGGCGGATTCTCGCAGCTTTGCCCGACAACCGCAGCTGCTTTAGCTGAAGCTTCTGGTGGGAACATGCGGGTTGCATTCCCATGGTAAAAGCGCATGGTAGAGCTATCTTATGTTTGCTTGAAGATGATCGCCTTGGTCTTCTGGTGTCTTGATGTTCGACACATACTTTTAACATGGTTTGTCAAAGGGGGGGTGCGCAAAAAAAGTTCGGTCCGCCCATGATTGAGTTTGCGGCCAGCCTTTGTTGCCTCTGTGCTGTTTGTTTCCATTGTAAGGGTTGGTTCCAAGAAGGCTCCACAAATTCCGGGCACTTTCTTTGAACCATGCTTTCTTGACTTTCGACCTTAGCATCCCTGAAGAAAATGGGGAAGCTACGAAAGCTACCTTCAGACTGGTTCCCCGTCGCCTGCCTGGCCAAAACGTCTCGACGCCTCTCGAGTCGCTCGCCGCGATGCGGCAAGCGACCTTCGCGGAGGGAAGAGGTGCCGAGCTCAGCGGATATCGCTGTTGTCAAAACCGTTTTGGGATCCCATTTTGGTTGGGATTGGTACCCATTTTAGAACCTATTCTAGTGGGGATTGGGATGTTGACTGGGGGGTAACCGGGCTTTTGACCCATGGCCATGTCTCTGGTTGAGGGTTGACTTTGGGGTTTGCTGTGGGCTCATGATTTTGACGGTTTCTGGGGGTTAAAGTGAGAAACAGCTGGGTGGTTCCTCTTGTAACCCACCACTTGACCGGTGACTTTAGTGGAGAAGGAATGGGGCCACTGGCTTTGAACGGAAACCAAAGGCCCACAGTTCTTGGGGGTCCCTAATGTGGACAGATGGAGCCTGACCGGTTGTTAAAGACCGCGTTTCGTTCAAAATGACCCTTTGGTGGCTCCATGTTGGCAGGGTAGATCCAGGGGCGTTGGTTGTTTGGTTCCAGCCACTTTCTGTAATCGTTGGGAATAGCTCCCCAACGGATATCGCAGCAATAGGGCCCCTTGAAGGATGAGCAATACGACACCTTGACCAGCTGACTGAAGGATCCACTAAGCAGGTGATTGCTGGATGTGTATCCTTTGCTTTCCACCATCACGGGCTCAGGTATTAAAGACAAGGTCTCGGGTATTGCTGTTTAATTCATTTGCCTGGTGGCACCGTGTGGGTACTCTTGTTCGCGAGGCTTGCCTTCAAAAACTAAGTGCCAGAAAGAGGGTCATCTCTCACTATGGATTGCTTTCCGCTCTTCTTGGCCAAGTTGTCATTTGGCATATGTGTTGGGTAGCCTTTTTCCCAGTAGCTAACGCAACAGGGTGCTTTGAGCATCAGCCAACACAAGGGTGGAGATCGATTCATGCAGGGGCGGTGTTGTTTCTCCCACGCGTGTGGCCGTGCTTCAAGCTGCGACTGAGAACCCTTGGCAAATGGATTCGGAAAGCCAAGGGTTTGGGATAGCTCGTCAGCCATTGTCTTGAGAGCCTTTGACGGGAGCAAAACCGGAAAGCACCATTCGCTGGGAAACGTCTCGCAGTAACGTAAAGGATATCTTGGCCAGTGAACAGAGGCACGACAATTTCACCGTTCTTGGCATGTGCTTTTTGGTTCTGTTCATTTCTTGCAGGGGGCTGCAAACAACTTTTACATTTTGCTACCATACCAAGAGTTGTGCAGTGAATCAGCTGATTTGAAGGATCCCTTGTGTCGCAGGTCGTTTCTTGATGTATCCTTTAAGGCGACCTGTCTTGGGGAGACCGAAGCCAGGTGAGACTCTTCACCTAGGCGCCGAAATCGTTGGCCGACTGACGCAACCATGGCTTAGAGCTGCGTGCCGGTAGTTGGACCTAGCCGTTTGCTGTACATATGTACATGCAGTTGTATTGGTAAAGACGCATGTATGTTTATGTTTACAGACATATATACTTATATGGGTCTGTGGTTTTTTTACCGTGTCAGTTCTTTAGTCTTTGTGGGAGGTGGGGCTTGGGCGAGCCATACCCCCGAATCATACCCCCGAGCCATACCCCGAGTCATACCCTTTAAAAACACAAAAAAAGAACTTGCAAGAACTGTGGCATTTGCATGTGATCCATGGATAGCTGGAAGCTGTAGGGGGTTTAACTTCAAGTGAAGAAGGGGGTCTTGTCAAGAAACAGTGTTAGAGAGCTTGACATGTGGACCGATGCCAGGGGTAGGGACTCCGAGGTAATACTGGTGCACTTGTGGTTCCTGGATCTATTCTTGAGTCTGCGATGCTTGCATGGTTGGGCTCTGATGTCATGGGGCCAAGTACAGTTGACATGTCCACTCACACACTCACTGGTTACTCGTGGGGGCATTTTGGCTCAAGTGGTGTTCCTTGACGCTCGGTTACCCACCTCGGTCTCGGCTTGCTATTTTCAATGGAAAGTGCCAATGGGTGGAGTTATAGAGCAATCCTGCGGATGTGCTGGTACTAGAGTTGTCTGTAGCATCCGTGGTGCTGTGGCGGGGGTGCCGCTGCTGAGCTTGAAGCTTGGAGCTTGCTTCCTGCAGTCTGTCCGACGCGGTGGAAACAGCTGTCTGTCCTGGGCCACTGTCGCAGTGAAACACAAGCTGTCTTTGTGCTCCTGGGGTACTCTTGGTGTCTTTCCGGTCGAAAACATCTGTCCCCCGATTCACACCCCCGATTCATACCCGACTCATACCCCGATTCATACCCTTCTGCTGCCATTTGCAGCAAAGAGCCTCTTGCGCTCTGGGCAGTACTAGCGAAGCTATGCCGCCCAAATCCTCAGAAGACAAAAAACTCAAAGAGAAGCACTGCAGGAACCAGCTCGCGGCTCTTTTTGCAGAAGTTCGCCAGAAGGTGGGTTCGGAAGGCTTACTGCGATGTATTAAGCGCGACACAGTACACCACCTGTGAGAGGCCCACTAGCCTCTGCGCGGCTGCCGTTTGAGGATGTCACGCTGTCTTGCCCCTACGCTGGTTCGTGACTGGCGCGGGTGGCGGGTCGCTTGAACTCCAAGTGGAGGTGGCAATGACGTTCGCCTCAGGCAGTGGCTTTGCGCCTTCCACCTGTGCAGCAGCTTTAAAACCCACTCACGCAGAGTGGCAGCTGTCTAGTTCAGGCCACTCACAAGCGCCCCAGGCTGGCTTGTAGCAACTAAGCGGTCCAAATTCTCACGGCTATCCAGTTGCCAGCGCACGGGAGCTTTGCAGTGTCCAAAGCCACAAAGCAAGAGTTCAGAGGCGCGCGAGCCATACCCCCGAGCCATACCCCGAACCATACCTGCGATTCATACCCCTTGTACCAACCTCCCGGCACGGCCACGTCAAAAAACACATACCCACACACACACATATATATATATATATATATTTCCCGGGGGGAGGGGGGTGGGATTCGGTTCCGTGATTTTGTTGGCTTGGAGGAGTTGCTTCAGGCTTTTGCTGAGTCTGGCCTTCCAGCCGAGCAATTGCTACCCTGGAGAGTTCAAGGTAGCCAAGGATCCATGGTGCCATGCAGCTTGTTCAGTGCAGCGCTCAACAAAACCGCCTTTTTTCAGTGGACCTGGATGTCTCCCCAAAAGGGATGTAGTCTTCCCAAACCCTCCGATCGTCAGCTTCCGTTGTTAGAGGTACTTGTAGGGTGGCTTTCCTGGGTTTTGCAGTGCCCCAACATGATTGGCCGGCAGGTTTTGGGACTAGAACGCAGGGCCTTCAGAATCGGAGGTGGCCTTCAACCCAGAACAGTCGTGCCACGGCCCTTGCTCAATAGACAGCGGCCCCAATAAGGCGATCACCTTCCTTTTCTGGGTCCTTCGGGCAACTGAAGGCACATTTGTGGTACTAAATGCATTTGGCGATGTTTCGCCATTCTCACCAGTCGGCGTCCTGCGGATGCGTTTTGGATGTTTCCCACGGTTGGCAAGGGTCTTGCAAAAGTTGTTTGAACCCCCCAATCCCAGCGGAGGTGGATGGATTCTGAGTTAAGAAGGGTCTACTAGACAAGTATTGGTGTTTCTGTGTGATCCTCCATGTCCCCCTATTGAGGGCTTTAAACTGCAACAATCAAACTGCCGGAGAAAAAGAAAAAAACACCAGCATGACCCCGCAGCCTCCGGCTCATGGGCCTCGGCTACAGATGCAAGCACTTGCCATCCAGCCGTTTGGTTAGCCATTGGGATTGTGTCTAGGTCCCCCAGTGGTGCCCTTTTACCCTTTTTTGGGGGAGGGTTCCCTTACTAAAATGGACTACAGAAAAATGGGTACCCCTATTCTCACCTCTCTACTGGAGGACCTAGGTGTGCTTCACGTGGGGCAAAGAGCCAACCCCTGCATCCGGCGATCATGGATGGCCCCTTTGCAACCGAAGGCGGGTGCCCCGAGTCGATGGTGTGACAAATCTTCGGCATGGCCCTGCATGGCTTCTCAGTCCGAAAAAGGCGGAAACCATTGGTGAGGTGAGTGGGGAAGGTGGCGATTGTTTTTGCTTTGTCCCTCCGGCTTGCACTCGCTGCCTTCAAAGCCAAGCATAAACCCACCAAACCAACCTCCCTGGAAGCGAAAACCGACTCCGGAGGACAGCACGCCACAACTGAACCTACCCGAAACCCTTAACTAAACCCCAAACCAACCATAAACCCACCCGTGAACCAACCCGAAAGCAGCAACAAGCCCGCCCAAACCAACTGTCAACCCACCCTAAGTCAATCCTAAACCAATCTCTAAACGAGTCCCTCAACCCACCCTGAACCAACCTTGAGCTCACCCTGAACTTACACTCAGTCCCAAACTTACCCTAAACAAACCCACCCTGAATCAACCCATCGACCCTGAATCAACCCGCCAAAACACTAAATTAATTCTTGACCCGGTTCCTTTGGAGTTAAACTGCTTTAAACAAGCGGAGTCACGCCGAGGAACGACTTGCTTTCCTGCCTTTCGGGAGGTGAGGATTGCCCCAGCCAAGCCCTGGCCGAAAGCCGTAGGTTTCTCAGTTTTCCGCAAATAAAGATGGAGCAGTGGAGGCACACGCCGCCTGTGCCGCACCAGACATCAGCATTGGATGTCGCGTTGTAGCCTTTCCACGCGCTTGTGCGGCCAGAACATGCAGCCTGTTTGTTCCTGACAGAAGCTCTGGTGGGACAAGGGCCGACATTCATCATATCATGGAAGCGTTCGTCAGGCTCCATGAGAACATTCTGCACATGCCAGAAAAACTTGTTTTTTGTTTCCTTCTTCTTTTATACATATTGTATTTTTTTGGGAAGTACTAGATGATGATGCTTTTGTTGTGAAAATATCTTCGTCGATAGCAGGATGGGTGCTTGTAACTGCTATTGCTTCTGTTCTTGCAGCCTAACCCTCATCCCCCCTCTCTTGGTTTCCTCCGCATATTTGGGGAGGCGTCGTATTCGATCCAAGGGAATCTTCTTGCGGCAGGCGGGCTTTGCCGCTGTGGACGTGTTCCAGCTGACCAAAGCTGCGTCCAAGCGGCTGCAGCGGAGCTGGAAAGAAGCCTTGGAGCGACCCGACGGAAAAGACGGGGATAGCTTTTCAGGTAATGTTGATCCCAATACTCAACCCCAGTTCGTTAATAGGGGGGCGTGGGCTCCAAAGGGACACCCCCCCGATTTTAATAAGCTGGGGTTGAGGAAAAAATGGGGTCAACATTGCTTTCCTCGACAAAATCCTGCACCAGCTGGGACGAAAGCCCTGTGTCCAGAGACAAGGGGTGGTCAGATCTTGGGAACATGAAGGTAGGTGAACCCTGTGTAATCGCCCTTTTCGCTGGCTTGCGATCTCCGCGAGGAGCCGCTCGGTGATGCTGAAACTGGCACCCAAACCGTTGTGCATCCATTGGATGGGCCAGAGGTTCACACCTGAGATTGAAGTTCTGGCCCTTCATCAGGGCTCCTTAAAAGATACAATTTGCAACCATTTGAAACATGTTCGAACATGTTGCTTTTGCAACACCAAAATAGAGTTGGAAACCACCAAGTTGCAATGTTCAGGTGTATCATGTAAGGATCCCTGTTCATAAGCAGGCCTAACATGCAACATGTTCCTTACATCCCGAGCTCTTGGACTTCATACTATTTGGTATGACCGTTTGAGTGGCAAACACAAAGTTCCGACTTTTGCTGGCCAATCCACTCAGGTAGTGAGTTTCCACTTATTTCCCCTCGAGGCTTCCATTTGATGTGACCGAATCAGAAGGTCACAGTTGCAAGGGTTTAAAGTCTGGCCAAACATGGGGCAGAATTTCCATGTTTGGATGTGAATACTTCTGGTCGCAAGGAGGCCGGCGGGACCTCAGCATTGATATCTCCGGAGAGGATTTATAGAGGTGTGTCTGGGTGGGTGGGTGTATGTGTGTGTGTGTGGGTGTTTGTTTTGTGGAGATTCCTGACTTTGGAACCACTCCTCCTAAGTTTACGTTTTGTTTACTGCTAGTGTACCATGACATGGATTGAGGCGCAAGCCAACGGTTTGCTCTTTCGAGCGAGCGGAAGGAGCAGGGAGGTCACACCCGGAGTTCCCTATGTCGCCACAGGTGCACACTCTCTTTCACCTCCATGGATTTGAGGTGGGGGTGGCGTTCAAATAAAATCAAGTCCATGGCATTAATTTGGATTCCCTAGTTGTTTTGGATACACCGCAAACTTTGGGCTACGACATTTAAGCGATTGCAATTGATAGGGGGATGATCCGCAACCTTGCCATGGCTCCGGGCAGCTTGAGGGACTCCCGCACGTTTCAGACAAGTGGTGTTACCTCTCGCATGGTGCAATTGAGCCATGAAAACCCGAAGATGAAGGGTAAAAGATAAGCCGGACATGGGCGCAGTTATCCGGCCTCTTGATTGTTTACATGTTTTTGGGTAGACACCTTGAGTACCAGGTTTGGAGTGTGACTCACTTGATTGCCGGCGCCCGTCCCCATTACGTGGCTTAGCTCCTTAGCTCGGCTCGAAACTCCGCCTTGAGGTTGCTACAGTGCGCTCCAGACATCTCCGTGCAGCCCAACATTGTGTGCTTCAATGTTGCGCTCAACGAATCTCTTCTCAAGCCAAGACTTGATCCATGGCAAAGGGGTTTGGTAGTGATTGCCTTGCAGGGCCGCCTAATGAACCGTGTGGGTGTGGGTGTGCTATGTTTGTTTTCGCGCATCCTTTTGCTGTTCCTTTGGGTGCTTCAACACTGTTGCAAAGAAAAAGAATGTCAGTGCCACCAAGCGGAAAGTGGGTTTGGAGAGCAACATGCTCCATAAGTACGTATGCTACTGCGCTCGGTCCGCATTCCTGATCATTCATGCTTGTTGAACCTGACAAAGATGAGGATTGCAAGCACGCCTTGGTTTCCTGCGCTTCGGCTTTGTGTTGTTCTCTGCCAGCTTTACTTCTGCGAAAGGAGCTAAAGATGAGTCCGCGGACAATGCAAAGGTGTCTTGATTGGTCGAATCCACAACGGGTTAAATGGACAAGACAGCGGCTTCAAAGTCAGCACACACACACACACATTGGTTCTAGCCGAGCCTTTTGTTCAAGCTCTTTCGTGCGCGTTGCTATGTGTTGCTTCTACTACGTGGATCGGAAGACTGGTAAAACAATGCTGTTGCCAGAAGGCGCCAAGAATTTCGGCTCGCAACATTGCCCAACAAACACAAGTAGTTACTCCGTGAGAAAGCGAGCAGTGGATGAATGGCATCAGTCCAATGCTGATTCAGAGCAGCAAGGCAAGCCATGGGAACTGCGTGTTTCTCAATGACCCTGAATGAGGCAGCTGAATAGTCACTGAATATTTTGCCCCTCAATAGCCCCTAGTCGCCAATAGTCACTATTAGACTGCAATGGCTGCTTGGGGGTTGCTTTCCCTGGTTTCTTCCAAAAGGGAATGGGGGGGGAGTTGCAACCCAACCATTCAAAGTTCACTTCTTTTTTTTGCCCCTTTTTATTTTTTGGCGCTGGATGCTCTCTTCTTTTTTGGCGGCATAGACTCCAAACCGGTGACTTCTCGTCCAGCTCCGAAACCACGCCACAGGCCTACAGTCGCAGCTCCTGGCGATGGGCATTGCAGCTTCTGGAAGCAGAGGAGTGGGGCATTGCACGTGTAAGTGGGGAATAATTAAATAGCCATGGATATAATTTACTGACCATGGTGATAAAGTTTTTACAAGTGGGTTAGAACCAGACTTACTAACCTTACTAACCACTTGCTACGTGCCCTGCCCCTTTAAGCAAGAGACTCTTGGTAGCTGAGCACATTTGGTTGGGAGGGAGCCGGACTCGGAGCTGGGCGTATTTGGGTATCCAAATTTGCCTTCAACGAGGGAGCCGGACTGGGAGCTGGGAGTTCTGTAAGGAAATGGTAGCTAATGTCCTGTCATTGGGGTTTGATGCTTGAGGTCTTTGGGCAGAATGAACAGAAGTCTTTGGCAGGTTGCCTGTCGGCCGATTAGATGGCAAATGTATCCGGACCAGGTCATGATCAACAAGGCGTGGATGGACAAAATCCGTGCGCAGCACTTGCAAACCATGGGAAAGCATGGTTGGTTGGCATTCACAGGAGAATCATCATCATTCTAAGGTTTCTTCAGCGGTGCGGGATTTCGCCCATCCACAGGCGTTTTTGCCGACTGCCCTATTGGAGGTTTTCAGCATGACACGTGGTGAAGATTGCTCGAGCAGCCGAGTTGGTCGGAATCAATTTTTAGCTATTGCCGGCTCTAATCCCCACGCCTCCGGAGGTAAGGCCAAAGTCTAGCCCTGGCACACCCGATTTATGGATTGAATATGTTGCTTTGTGTCTTTAAGACTGTCTTTGTATGTCTTTGTAGCGGGAGCCTGCCAGGGGGTTGAAACTCAAAATGAGCGAGGGCATTAGCAAGTGGTGATCTGCTATCATAAGAAAGATTGGACTTTGCTGCATTTGAGTCCTTGTGGTCCATCACACCCATGGTCGCACACTTCCTTCCCAAGTTCCCAAGTTTCTGGGCTTACCTTGGTATGACCATAGTGGCAAACAAAAGTTCGGACTTTTCTGGCCAATCCACTCAAATGAGTGGTGTGTTTGGGGTTCAAGGTTTGCTTGTGCGATCGGAACCATGGAGGATCTGGACCTTGTGAGCTTCTTGGCTTGGTGGCAGAATCTGAGAGCAGCTCCACGGGGTTGCATCGTTAATGTGGCAGAATGCACGTGCTTGACATCCCCACCCCCCGGGGAATGTATTGCTAGGGGGGGCGTTCCCCCCCCCTACCAATACATGAATATATGGTCCAGGCCCCATATTTGACACAATTAGTCCCTGCTGGACAACACCCTCAGTTGTTTAAAGGGCTGTCTCTGTTTGAGGGATCTTTGTTTCGACACCCTAATGCACTATTAGAGGCTATTTCAGGCAAACTGCCTTTTGATGCTTGTTGGTGGCTGAAAAAAAGGGCATCGCGGGTTCTAGGCAGGGTTAACCAAAAGGGCAGGGTCAATTATTTGCTGCTGCTGTGTTGCCCATTTGAAGGTCCTTGTAACTAAGAAGGAGTGTTCCCGGGAGACTCGCATGAACCCATTTTGCCGGATCTCGCGCGAGACATGCCGCGGGCCTGTGCTAGCCAACATAAAGCCAGGAGATTGTCGGCCCAGCCAGCTTGCAACATGACACCGTCCATTGGTTGGCCTAACCATTTCTGGGACCCTTTCATTTCTGGGCAAACGTACCATCCCTGTCCAAGAAACATGGGTTATTTTTTGGCGCGGGGCTCATATGCAACGAGCCATGCGTGGCATTGGCGGTGGCGAGCGATGCCTTCGAGGCCTGTGGCCAGGCTTCTACTTTTGGACTACCCCAAGAGGCAGGTATCGGGGCCCGAAGCGGCGGAGAGTTTGGGGCCCGAAGCGCGCGAGATCGCACGAGCTTGAGCATCATAAAGGACAGTTTGGAACCAGAGCAAGCCGAGCCAATCCAAGCAAATCCAAGCCATCAAGAAAATACCAGTAGCCATCCACAGAAAAGTCATGGCTGTCAAAACGCAATTGAAATGATTAAAGCATATATCAAAGCGACACACCCCGGGGCCCTTGGTTTTAAGTCTACTTCACCGCTTTGGGCCCCGAAGTCGCCTTTGGGCCCCGAGCCGTCTCCAAGGCTTCATGCTTGAATCTGCTGCGGTCAGTCAGCAAGCACACCCTCTGCTGTACAAACAGGCAACTGGAAGAATATATGGTGTAGATTGTTGTTGCACCTCGATAAAACGAATTGTGAGGCAAAACGATATTGTCTTTACGCGTGCTTGATGCAGCCGGGGTTGCCTGAACCACCAGTAGCTTCGCCCTTTGCAGGGATCTGCGTTTCAGAACGTGGCCAAACCAACAGAGTCTGTGAGATTCATTCGAATAACAGTGATGGGGGAAAGCATACTTGTTCTCTGCACGCCATAATTTGAGTCTCTCGGGGGCATCCCCATTCTTCCCCTGCTCAAGTCAAAGCCTAGGCGTTTCTCAGGCAATGACACCCCAAATCGTGCCCACACAAGGGCCAGCACAAGCTGCGACATGCTGACATTGTGGACTCTGTTTCCTGCCAGCCCTTGTGAGAGCATGATACACCCAGTTGTTCAGCGGCCACTGGAAAAAAGGGAGCATTTTTTGGTTGACTACCTTAAAGGGAACCCACCTCAAAAAGGGTACACTCAACAACTGGATAAAGCCCCTAGCTCAGACTATGTCCATCACCGTAGGCAAAGCGTCAGATGACTGCGCACCAAGCTGGGCCAAGAATGCCCGGAAACCTTTTGATCCAGATACCACGGTCGGCGCGATCTCCTTGAACTTCGTCCACACCGCTGAGCTCTGCTGGTCCTGCGTCAAAGGCTTACATGCGAAGCCGGCCCTCGCTGCGAACCGTGTGGGCACCCTGAGTTTGAGCTCCTGCCATTGCGTGTCGCCCTTGATTCCTCGAACGCACCCTTTTTTAGTGAGAAGTGGCTTGCCCTCAACTTTCTCACGGAGCGCTCTCATCACCTCCATATACGCGGCCATGGAATCACGCCCACCTTTGGTTGCAGGGAAGCTGAACTTGGTGTACACAGTTGGCTCAAGCTTTGGCTGACCAACCGCTTCCCCTGCCACCTGGCGCAAAGCATCTCGAGCAGCGGAAGAATTTTCTACCAGCAAGTAGCCATCGGCTTCGTGGTACACAAGCTGGCTTCGCGGCACTTCGAATAAGATGGTCACATCGTCGGCTTCGGTGTTGCGAGGGTCCACGAGCAGCGCGTGGCTCTCGGCCGTGGCCTTGCACATGCACTCATGGCGATGCTCTAGCAAGCACAAATGCACAAATGTGGCCAGCTCAGCCTTAAATGGCCCAGGGTAGACTTTTGAAGAGGAAGTTGACGTCGCCTTGCGGCCCCGTCTGGGCATGCTCCCCCTCCAAACCTTTTCTGTCACGGCCAGCACTTGGTAGCTCCGTTTTCCATCCCGCAAGACGCTCCTGGGAGTGAACTCTACAATCTCCTGCGAGATGTTGGAGCTCCCTTTTTGCACAAGTGGTGCTGCTAAGTCCTGCGCAGACTTTGCAACCAAACGGGAGTAGGTCTGCCAATCAGTGAACCGACTCTGGCGCCCTCCACCCACAAGGTCAAAGACCTTCTGCGCCTTGCACAGATCACTCCGCAGGTTCATCTCATTCATCGGCCTTTGGCTCGACAAAACTTGTGGTGGAGAGAGAAACCCTTCTGCAAGGCGCACATCACTGACAGCCTTCATCATGGAAGGAAGCAAAGCTGCTACTCTCGTCAGGGCTTTGTCCTTGGTGTCATCCGCTGGAGGTACCCACCCAAGGAAGCCACACTGGTGCAGCATCATGGCAGTGGCAGAAGCTGAAGTCGCGCTGGCAGCTGCCGCATTGCTCTCTGCTGACCCTTTTGCATCGTCCGCCAGGAGGCTGCTGACAGGGGGCCCAGCGCACTGAAGGTCGCAAATGTCTTTCTTCAGCTTGGCCTCCACTGCCAACTGACTGAGACTTGAAATGACAGGCTCTTCACATGCTGGCGGCGGGTCCACTTCCATGTCCGACTCCTCCGCGTCATCAGAATCGTCATTGGTGTCAGACAGCTGGAAGCCAAACAGCAGGCTCTTGCCAATGTCCCGGTACCAGGATGACAGCTCTCTGGCAACCGAGGCGGCGGTCGCGCCCGCCTTCGAAATGGCCCACAGTGTCGTGGCAGCTGTGTGAGCTCGACCAGCGATCTCTGTCGCCTGAGCATCCGTCACGCCTGCCCAAAAGCGCTGCTTGGACGGATCCGGCAGCTCTGGGCGCCGCATCTGCCGCAAATGCAACAGCTGTGTTGAAGAACTGCCAATTTCATCGAAGGATGTTGGGAGCAGGCGGCCTTGACTCTGCCAAAATGGTGTTCAGCGGCGTCCTTGCAGGGTACAGATGGGATGTCCCTCGCAACCGACGCCGGGCGCGAGCCTGCGCAGCCGAAATGCACATAGGCTGCATAGCTGAAGAGCGTGCGACACACCCCGACTTCAGGCTAATTCGGGCCATCCACTTCGCGCGAGCCTGCGCAGCCGAAACGCGCATGAACATTTCACGAGGCTGCACAGCGGAAAAGCGAGTCCCGAACGCACCCCGATACACCGCGACACCGGGCCAAGCGCCTTGCGCGAGCCGCTGAAATGCGCATGAACATCTCACACGGCTGCAATAGGCAGCGCGGCCGAAAAGCGAGCCCAAACACACCCCCGACTCCGGGCCAACCACATTGCACAAGCCTGCACAGCCGAAATGCAAGGCTGGGTGGCTGAAGAGCGTGCGACACACCCCGACTTCAGGCTAATCCGGGCTATCCACTTCGCGCGAGCCTGTGCAGCCGAACCGCACATGAACATTTCACGAGGCTGCGCAGCCGAAAAGCGATTTCCAAACACACCCCGACACACCCCGACACCGGGCCAAACACTTTGTGCGAGCCTGTGCAGCTTACATGCGCATGAACATCTCACAAGGCTGCAATAGGCAGCGCGGCCGAAAAGCGAGCCCAAACACGCCCCGACTCCAAGCCAATCAGTTTTGTGTGAGACTGCGAAGTTGAAACGCAAGACAAGATTTTGCAAAGTCACGATCGTAGGTAAATACCACGCAAAATGGTTCGGGCCTAGGGTCGCTCCAAAGAAAGCGCCCTGACCCCCCCCGCCTCGCCCTTAACTGTTACTGGAATCCTTTAGTGTGGACGCAGTGTTTGTGGAGTTTCGAAAAGACACAGCCTCGAAATCCCTTAGCACGCTAATTACTATGCAATACTTTACCCGAAACTATTTGCAGACGGCTCCTCCATGCAGGAAGATGGGGACCATGGCGCAATGCTTATTCCAGGGTGACGCAGGCACCGCTCGATTAGGTGCCCTGCGCAAAACAAAATATTGCGCGTGGTCGTCAACGACCATGTGTGCGTCTGCCATCTGCCACCTGCGTCCAGCGAATATTTCCCGATGGAGCAGTTACTCAAATGTTACCCATGGTCATTTAGGGGCCCTGAATGGAAGATTGATCGACCCCAAAAATGGCTTGGCTCAAACCCGTGACTTGTGCGCCCAAGATAGTGTCTGGACCAGCATCCCCCCCCTGAACTTGAGTAATCCCCATCTTGCGGGCAACGAGTCTGCCAGGGAAGCAACGTCAGCCCGGCCTGACGCGTTCCACGCGAACATCACATCAAGAAGTGTCAAGTAGAAGCCCGTCAAGGCGCATTCCAGACGAGCCAGGGGGCTAAACTTCAAGGCCGCGTGCCACAGGCCGCACGCCAACGAGGCAAAATGGCGATCTCAAGCATCCATGCTGATGTGTTTCGGATAAAGCCGGTGAGCAACCTCGCGGTCAGATTGGCAATCTCGGCCCGAATAAGCGAAGACCGGCAAGTTCTTTATCAGCATGATCGAAGCATTGACCCGTAGCCCAACGCACATCATGCAGCGGTGCTTCCCCCGTAAAGCGCGGCCCAAGCTCTTTTGAGCGCGTCGTGGTGGAATATTGTATGAGAGTTGTACTGGATTGAGCTGAAGGGGTAGTGCTTGATGCGCTTGAGAGACCGTGGCACTCTCACAGTCCTGGAAGAAGGGAACGTCCCGG